GAAAGTTACTCATTTGGACGAATCGAAGCCGTCAATGGGCCTTTTGAACGGCTAATTTAGGACGGTAGAGGACAGCTTCTAGTTATCTTTTGCTGACCTCATATTATCTTTTCCGACTAAACTGGAAAGGTATACTGTATAAAAGCAAATTCGTATTGAAATCGAACCATATTGTACGAATATTGCTTAACCTAGACTGCAAATCCAGTTGAAGGTTTTATGGTTGTATATGCGAAGCCTGATCCACTGTTCCAAATGGAAACAAAAGGACAAGTATCGATCTTTTTTTTAATTCGCACGAAAGGTATTTTGTGCAGTAGTGACAATACACTTCCGTATTTCATTCAGTAGAAAATTGGTCTATCCACTGAAGCTTCGATCTTCATTAGCCTGGGTTCGAATCTCGCTTGAAAAAAATGCGCAAAACACTCTTGTTGTATGGGTGAGCTTTTTTTTGACTTAAGCTGATTATATGCTAGTCAATCTTTTTTTTTTTTTTTTGGTCATTAGAGATTACGCTCCCATATGAATATTTCTGTATAGAGACTAGTCGCTTTCATACTAAATGTATAGCACCCGCACGCCAAGTGCGGCAGATCAGATTCCAAAACGGGATAAGAAGCTTGTATTTGGAGTACAATGGAGCTTTTCACAGGTGCTACATCGATAATGGTAATAAAGAGAACCTAACGCTGTGGTACACTACATTATTGTATCTGTTCACAATATTTTAATATCCTGCGTAAATCTACATTGTTATAAGCTACAGTTTGTTTCGCTAAATTTCTAACTATTACTTTCTTTCTCACAATGACATCGGTTCCGTGGCTGAATGAGAGGCGTACAATTATGGTTTGAGCATCGTTATAAAACTTGTAGATCCACCGTTGTCGGGTCAACTATAAATTGTATACTTCATATAAATATAGCCTTGTTCGGATTACCCATTTTGAAGCCCCACGCAAACTTATTCTTCACTTCTGGGACACTGGAAAATCGTAGGAAAAACACTTAGGTTTACGTCATACCTGGACTACCGTGCGAAATTGCCTGGTAATTACAATTTTATCCATAATTGCCACATTTATTTTGCATGCTGATTTAGATCGTGAGGAATGTATGCATCTAATTTGAGTGAATCATGAAAAACTCATAATGGTAAAGCTGATTTGTTTTTTCGAAATGACCTTTATTTCATGTTCTAGATTGAAGATCAGTTGCTTTCTGTATCATTGAATTCACCGACCGAAGTCTCAGTGTTTAAAACAAATGGTAGCGATGAAAATTTGCGCGCACTCGTGTAAGAATTACCATTTTGATCCCACACATTTCGTTATCGACACTTCTCACCACGGTGTCTTAACAGATCATTTTTTTTTTAGTGAAGTAAGTGAGGGAATGAGCCAATGCGAGTTCTTTTGAAAGAGAAGAACTGTCGAAAGCTGAAACCAAAGCGTTCGTCGTATTTATATCAAAGCTACGGTTGTTCGTTTGGGCCTAATCAATATTTCGAGTTCTATGTCCAGCATTGCTCCGTACGGTTATACTGTACGAAACGAAACGTGCTCACGCCGGATTTAAATACAGAATGGCCTCACCTACTCGTAAGTTAAGTGGGCAAAAGGCTTGTGAACCTATAAAAGTTAGCCGAGACACTATCACGGCTGGATGATTGCCCGGTGACTCAAAATGGAATCTCTGACAAGATTGTTCGACTTGCCCTTGTCTTTAACTCAGACACAGCCCCCCATACGAGGCTGTGTTTGAGTTTGGTAGTAACTTTCTCATCGTAGTTGCACATAAAATGAAATCAGGCTAACGGTTATCTACGAGAGCTCTCAGCTTAATGCGGGCCGATCCCTTGTGAAGTCACTGCTATATAAGAAAGAATTTAAAACAAACCTGCGTAATCTGCTCGTCGCATTTATGTTTACCGTCCATGGTACAACGAGTCTGGCTCTTGATTTTGCCACATTTCTCATGTGACTGCTTCCAAATGTCAAAACCAAGCTGTATGAATCTCGTTTGGACCGCGCTGAATGTGACATCACAATAGAATACATTACACAAATGAAACACCTGGACATGGTACTGAATTTCATGCGTCTTTAGCTTCGAATACCAATGACAGCGCGAAAGTTTAAAAAATCAACGATGATCAATGTCATTTGATTTCCAAGGCGAAAAGTAGCCAGATCAACTTGTAAGCTACATCGCGATTGTGACGTGTTCCTTAACCTGGAGGAGTTTAATTCCGAACAATTTATCCCAGACAACACCCAGGGCTGCCATCAATGCTCGCCTCGCCCGGCTGGTGCGAAAAATTACATTCGTCAGAAGTTCGCCATTGTTATAAAGGTCTCGTGGTCCAAGAGAAGAGATAGTCACCACCAGTACGTAGCCGCCGAACAGGCTCAGGGAACGCTTTTCTGTTATTAAGTTAAACAAGGCAAACAACTTTCAATTTGCATTGTACTTTATATATAATTAAATAAATGGTAACTTTCTGATAAATTCTCGTTTCGAAATTAACTGTCGAGGTGGCAAAGCCAAAAAAAAATCTCATAACAAAAATCGAGGCTGAAATCAAAGTAAAAAATTAGGTCTTGGTTGTGGCATTTTGCGGCTCCGTTATTCTATTCAAAGAAGGAAAAACTGCATGGCTTTAGAAGGTATGAATTTCACGTAATTACTGCTGGACATTAACTATAACATTCATTGCTAATTACTAAATACAATATGTAATCACGAACTGTATATGTGAATAATTTTTACCAACAGATTCAATCAGTTGTATATAAACTGTTTATAAGGAACATGACACATGTTAAACTGAAAAACCCACTCCATAAACGACTGTGCTTCCACGCAGGCGTAGTAATCAAATGTTAGTTCCTTTTTTTTTTTTCTTTATTATGTTGACCTTATCGGGTGACGTTTATCAGGACTTGTCCTCATCTGTACGTCATGAAATTTTATTTTAATTTCATCTTTGTGCCAAATTTAATTAAATAACTAAGGATCTAATTGTAGACTACATTCCGAATTCACACTAGCTGCTACGGAAGTTCATACCGTACCTCGTACGTGTTCTGAACTTATCCATGCAAATTCTGTATTGAATCATATTCTAGAAGACATATTAAATGTCTTCAGCATTCTTTAACTTTTTCAATCTTCGCCACGTAAAGTCAGCAACATCACGACTCTGTAGGGCCGCTCGCCTCCTGAACATCGTCAAACAGCACAAATTATCACCGATGGCGATCACCCGTCAGGCAAGATGGTCACGTTGCCCTATCCTAATCTTCTATCAATTTACCCGCATTGACTACAACTCTTAATTTAAAAAAAATCTGCAAGGCATACGATATTTTATTTTATTTCGAATATGACATCTATATTTATTGAAGATGCGTTCATGTAATTTATGAGTAAAAACAAGTGAAACCTTATTTTTTGTATATAGGATAGACATATTGAGCGTTACGAATAGATAACAACTGAATTAACGAGCCGGATAGTTTTAGGAAAAATAAGCAAATGATGGACAGCTGGTAGTGACGCTTCCTGGATGCGGACAAGAAATGAGGGCGAACATAACAGAAAATTTAAAAAAGAAAAATAAAGAAAAAAATCATTCCTTCCATTCCCGAGTTGCCCCTCGGATAATTATAAACTATCAGTTAGAAATACCTCAAAGGCACCACGGAGTTTCAAGGCTCTTTGATTGCTTGAGTATCGCGTATTTTCCATCAGGGTCATTTTAAAGTAACGTCAGTTTTACATTCGTTTGTATAATGGTTCCAACAGTCAAGAAAAAATGCAATTATTTTTTACCGCAGTTCCATTGAAGGGCTGATCGGAAGAAGGAGGGTGGAACCTACTGCAGATAGGGTAAGTAGGGACGATTTTATAAAACCTGCTAATTCGCTCATAGGCGATAGAACGATTTCGTGAAAAATCTTAATGGCCTTCTTGTTATAACACTATCCGCCATCAAACAGTAATATAGACAAGCTTCTTAAGAATATCAAAGATTACGTTGTAGAATAAAACTTGAGAAAAAGACGTCAGCGGCTACAAAAACTTAAATACCAATTAGCCATATATGAACCTATCTTAACATACACTATTTGAGTGATATCCAATTCGGAAAATTGTGCTTATTTTGTGCGGGAAATTTTCATTTATTCATCTACATTGTAACGTACACGAGTGTAGCATTATCTATGCACGTCGATAGCGAAGCCTGAAGGAGTGAGTCCGGGACTGACTGATGCCTAGAAAAATAAAAACTGGCGCTTTGATCACAGTGTAACGCGATTAGTTAGGTACATTTTACAGAATATTCGGAACTAATGTTAGAAGTTACGAATAGTAATATTTTCAGGAATATTGCAGATGTTGCAGTTCAACAGTGAATCGTTTACGAAACGAAGTTATCACAAAGGTAAAATAGACTTTGAAACTTTAGAGCTCCTCTAGCTTTTTTAATCTACAATTTTAAATTATTATTCTGTCAGAACTTATTCCTTTTCGTTTAATTCCTTTTCGTTCCCGTTAAATAAAAATCACATCTATTGTAGATCTGTGTAATATGTAATATGTACATCTATTACAAAACTGTTACTCATACCATATTAACCCTTGAATACTGTAACCGGTGGGTTTGATTTGTTTGATATCTATGTTCTCAAACAAACTGTAGATTCTATCGCTTTTACCCAATGGGTTAACCGTATTCTATATTCTCCTATACAGTTCATCCGCCTTATTTTTTGCCATTGTCTGAACAAGCAAAGCAACACGCCACCTCAGCGTATTTGACGGCGGCTGTCAGAGTTCTGTACCTAAACACTTCATCAGATGTAAATTTAAAAAAAAAAATAGATATGGAGCGAAAGATTCAAATCCTTTCCGGTGCATTTTTAGGAGATGTCATGAAATCCCTAAAAGACCATAAAATTACTTTATGGGTGTTTTTCAGTTTTAGACCAGCATCGATTATTTACAAGGCCAATTACACAGAATAGATTTTCATGTATCCGATTAACATTAGGTAAATGTGTCGTGTAGGTTCGTTGATTAATATCGACTTGGTTATTTCCCTAGAAAAAGCACGACAAAATATCGATTGTAGCGTTTCGCTTCTAATATTGTTTACGAAACAAATATGAGGACACCGATAAAATATTAGGCACCTTCCTTGGGTGAGAACTATCTCAATATGAAAACATCTGACACTTCCTAGCCCATATTTTGAACCCATTACTTTGGAATAATTTTTTTTGACGTCATTTCAAAAAAGCTCCATCCAAAATTCATACCTTCACTTACCCAGATAAGAATCGAGCAACGGGTTATAGAACTCGAAGCAAACCCAATCACCAAAGAGCTAAGTTCCGACGATTATATAAAAAAGAAAAGTACTTCAGTATTGTTCTAAAGAAGAGCCGAGGCCTATACCCGCCAGTCACCATGACAACTCGAAAACTAGATGGAGCAACAGAAGTCGGCAGAAAATTTATCCGAGAAAGGACTGCAATGCCAATATCCATTGTCGCAATTCCGGTATTTTCCCGGGCTTTGACAAATTTAATCCTGTATACTTTGCGCCGAAGGCCCATAACGTCTAGTCGCATTCGTTCCGTTCTCGGCAAATCTCCGGAATCGTGTTATTAACAGTTTACTCTCCTAAATAGAACGCTGTGAAAATTTGGGTTTTTTCATACGCTCTACTGTGTTACTACCAAAGGAAAGCAATTTCAAAGGAAAGCAAAGGAAAAAAATCAATTCGAAAGGTTTAGTGTACTAGAAAATTACCCTGTTTAGTGACGTTAGATAAAAATAGAAATTAAATACGTTTTACAGGATAGAAAAAGCTTTGTTGTTATAATCAGGATATATAACTACACAACTCCCGTATGTAAAGGGGCTATTTTTACATGGTTGTGAAAATTGCATTACTTCTCCTGTAGCGTGTTCCTATCAGCTTTCTATCGCAAAATAGATCTACGGAAATTCGCTATAAGGAACTTCTTTGCCATGTAAATACAAAAATGCATAAAGATTTAACGCTATACGTGCGTATGTACTACTCGAGGAGAGCTTTGCCAGAACGCTGCTACAAACGGTATCCTGCTCGGGTCCTCCTAATCCAAGGTGGGTATTTGCGTTTCGATACCACTACGGAGCTAATTTTATCGGCGTTTCATTATCTTACTTTATTATATCATCGACTATTTCATACTGTGTAAGCTGATTAGTCAAACAGAACTTGTGATGATCTACCGTTCCTTCAGGTGAGGATCTCAGGAGTCGCAAGTTAAGGTAAGCAAGATCCGTAAGTGAGTTTGAACATTCAGTGTTCTGCACGGTCTTCAATGTGTGACAAACTGGCGTTATATGAGACTATGTTATACTACGTGCCTTTATCGAATAGTAATGTACTAGACTTAGTTAATCGTCATCTTCATCATTGTTGGAAGCAACAGAGCTATCGGTCTCTTCGCCAAATGTGCAGACGACCACGCAACTATTTATTTTTCGATTCTTTCGAAGTTTAGCCGGCGTATCGAAAGTAGGTGACCCTGCCATTTCAAGTACGCTCACGCATACGACCAATATTAGGAAAGGGTTTGTGTACAGGCTCCACTAACTGGTACAGGTTTAGTCATTTCAACGGGAAATATTTGTGCAAAACAAAAAGAATACTGACACTAACACATCATTGTGGGTTCATTGGTAGGTTTGCTGCAGCGATGAATGCCCACGTGAAAATTTTGCCAAATGTCTAATCGATAAAGACTGCCTTCTAATCCATAGTTGCGTCATAACACTTAATATTGCTTATAAAATCGACCGGTGCGACCTCGGGCGTCAATTTCCGTCAAAAACGTACCTGAATAATATGCATGAAATCATTAGGCCACTCCTGATCTGAGTGACGAACCCACTTTTCTAAAGCAACCTCGAATACGATTCTATAGACAATGGACGAAGACAAAAGAAGCGTCTGAATTTCGTACACCCGCATACTAAGAAGGTAGTCAAGAAACGGATCGTAAAGTCCGAACTAAACTCAAACGCTGGGGAACCAAATTGCCGTCGACATCCCAAATCCAAGAAACTATTTTTCGATACGATGATTATGACTTATGTCGAAGGAGAAATCTCAGAGATAGATCCTATCGTTTTTGAGACATATTTGTTTACTGGGCATGACACGACAAAGTCTGCCTTTCGTTTTGCGATATACCTTATCGAACGGCGTTTCAATGTTCAGACTAAGCTTCATAGGCAGGTTAATGCAGTATCTGGTCCAGTGGAATGTGATGTGACCATAAAGTACCTCGATATGGTTTTTGAAAAGCGTCAGTATTTCTACATGCCAGACAACATGATGATCCAAGTAATGGGAAAGACAGACAGAAATCCATCTCAGCAGAAGCTTACAATTGTGTTCGTCAAAGATTAGTTTTTACTGGAAAACAATCATAACTGTTCCAAAGATTGAATGGAGATCTCTTGATTCGCACGAAAAGGTGGTGACAGCGCCTGACCTCGCGCTTTTGGGAACGATCGCCGGGAAGGTACACTACCAGTCATATTCTCAAATACAAGGTAGAGAAAGTGAAAACGGTCCGTATGTGCGCTTCGGAGGCACTACGAAGTATGAACCTCTCATAGATTGCATCCTTTTACTAGCCAATAAGTATAGCTCATAGTAATGTAATAATTCTGATCATTTTATTATTACATCATCACATAAGATGACGGAAAGTACGGGGGGAAGAGGGGGAGGGTGGCCTATAGTATACTTCACTTACTTCCAGAATCAACTCCACGTTCGAGCTGTGGTTGCTATCTGTTGAATTTAACCAAATTAAATGGAGGCGACGCAAACATGCCAGCCTTTGTAGATTTAGACAGCCATTTACTACTTGGAAAATTCATCCATTCTTTTGAAGTAATCTTCAAAACAAGCATGACGAACTAAATTACTTCTTCACAACAGTACGTTACTTATTCGGATGCGTTGAAACAGGCCAAATAGGACTTTATGCTACATTTAGTTAGGCTTCTATCAAGGTCACCCCATAATAAACTGCAAAGCTATGCAAGTGATAAAGATGGCTGGCACCAATCTTGAATATAATTTGTTAAAGCATTCAGCAAGGGATTAACTACTATTTATAGCACACGCTTTTGGTCATACACTCCTGTATATACATATCATCAAACTACTTCGATCATTCGGATGATTTTGAAATGAAAATTCTCTCCAAAAGTTGCTCGACCAATGCCCAGGGATATCCAATTTTGGCACCGACCATTCTCCGTGGGACTCCTTCGTGTTCGAGAACAGTTCATATTACCATTTACAGGTGTCTAATATATACATCCCGTTTGCGGACATTAGAAATCATTTCCAAGTATTTATTTATTTGTTGTAAAGTACTAGCCGTTTTTTTTTGTAAACGAACCGTGATATTAAAAAAATTTACACTTTTCTTTGTGCCTGGTTGGTAACTTTAGGTGCCTTGGTTACCTTGAGAAGATGTTACCTTGGACACTCAAAGCTTACGCCTCTATCTTGGAAAATCTATCACAAAGTTCTTTATTTAGTTCAGTTAACGTAGAGGTTGCATATCCTTACCAAGTGAGCAGTAAGCGGTTTTTGTTCCTTCATAGCATCTATAAGTCATTTGTATCTGCGACAAGAATATGTCAACTCGAACACCGTTTTTCCTCCTAATGTTACCTAAGAGCGCCCATAGCCTGCCACCGAAGAATACTTGACTCCAAGAACAATTTCGAATAAAGCAAAGCCCATTCTCATATATACATATATGTAGATATATACGACAGTGTATATCCTGTAGCAGTTTCACTATGGTCACCATATGATAACAGCACTTCGATAAAATAATACTGCTGCCTCTCATACAGCCGTGCTGAAAACCACTAACAGGGACGAACGCTGAAAAATATAATAAAAGTTAATTAATACTATATAAATTTAACGGATCTATTCTATTCTATACGCTATCTAAGATTTTCTTCGAACCAGTGACTCAGTAGGAACATTTCAGATCAGCATTAATAGCGATCGCGCATTAACCGTATGAAAAAAATGATTATAATTAGATCGAGGCATTAATATATCTTACACTGCAATTCGCATTATCGTACATACACGTTTCTTTTTTTTAGTATAGCAACCAATAACTAAATGGCAACGTGGACAGTTACCTCATAGTAAATGTGAGATGATGGTAATATCCTTGCGTAAAGGATATACATGGATTCCAGTACCTATCGAATAAAACTAGCCTCCTTTAATATTAGTTGCACCCGTGCGAGTAGTGCTCACGCTGGTCACGTCACTTTATTCCCTCTTCGTATCTTTAACTTGAATTTCTGTATACAATTGTTCAGCCAACATGTCGTCTTGCAAATTAATATAAATCCAAGTCATTAAACCTCAATGAAGGCGAAATCACAGCATCTTTGAGTGATTAGAGGCAGCTTTGTTCGTTAACAATACTCGACTCCGTAAATAGTCCTGTTTTCTCGCAGCTGCATCGGTACTATATTTGTATTTTTAGCTGAATCTATAGATGTATTTGATCACATAGTTCGATAGAAAATATATTCTGGTGAGTAACTGTTTGCTTATAATGTGCTCATTACGTTCTAGATGAATCACAATTTCTATTCGCCAGCCTAAATATTGATTGGTTTACAATTTGGACTTAGGAAAGCCAAGTCGGTAAAGTGCTACTATGCTGGCACCTCCCAGACCGACGTTTTGTTGAAGAGCCACTTTTGCACCGGGAACTTGCCTCTTGCCGGCAGTGCCACGTAACTGCCAACAAAGCTCGGAGCACTGAGCCAAGCCGGTCGCTCCCAGGGGATGTCCTTTTGAAATGAGTCCCCCGCTCGGGTTAATGACGTACTTGCCTCCGTAGGTGTTATCCCCCCGGTCGATGAACTCGCCAGCCTTACCTACCGGGCACAAACCGAGAGCCTCGTACGTGATGAGCTCGTTTGCGCTGAAGCAATCGTGCAACTCTATAACTTGAACATCATTTGGCGTTAGTCCAGCTTTCTTGAATGCACGCTCGGCGGCTGCCTTAGTCATATCGAAGCCGACCATTTTGATACAGGACTTCTCGTCAAAGGTTGACGAAAAGTCGGTGGCCATCTCGATGGCGAGAATTTCTACAGCTTGATCCTGAAGATCCAGCCTCTTCACCATGTCTTCGCTCATAAGAATGGCGGCAGCCGCTCCATCAGAAGTGGGACAGCATTGCAGCTTCGTTAGTGGGCCAAACACTTGAGGCGCCTCAAGCACCTCTTGAAGAGTATGCTCCACTTGAAATTGTGAGTTGGGGTTGTTTACCGAATGCTTGTGGTTCTTGACAGCGATCATCGCTAGCTGTTCTTTTGTCGTGCCGTATTTCTCCATATGCTCTATGCCAGCGGCACCGAACATCTGTGCAGCCATGGGTGCAGGTGAGATACCATATGTCGAAGCAAGAACTTTGGCGTGTGTTTCAATTGGATTTGCACGGTCCCTGAACTTGCTGGTAAGCGAGCCCCTATCCATTTTCTCGAATCCGCATGCTAGGACACAGTCTGCCAGACCGCCTTCAATGAGCTGTTTCGCCAAGATAAGTGCAGTTGAACCCGTAGAGCAGTTATTATTCACGTTATAGATAGGAATACCAGTGAGACCGACCTCATATAGAGCTCTTTGACCGCAAGTCGAATCACCATACACGTAGCCACATACGGCCTGTTGAATTTCTTTGTATTCGAGTCGGGCATCCTTCAACGCTGCTTCAACGGCTTCCTTAGCCATGACCGGATAGTCGCGCTTTTTGTCACCGGGTTTCACAAATGGTGTCATACCGACACCCACGACGAAAACGCGACGCATGATTAAAGGTGCAGTTGGAAGTGAGTTCGATGTTAGGGAAGCGGGCGCTGGAGCTGATGTTCTGAAAACCCAACGTTGGAAAAAGCAAACGACAAACTATCCGTTAATAGAGGGCATGATTAGAACGATTTCATTCTATCAGAAGGTGTCTATATTTCGCATCGAATATGCAACAACTGGAAGATTCATCTGCGAAGATATTCATACGCCAAAAATTCTCTTCGCCAACGTACGTAGTGATCCCAACGTTAACAGTAACTGGAGCGAGAACAGTCCACTGTTCCATCTCTTTAGCTTAGATTGGCCAGCAGGATCTCATTGTTTAGCACGTAGTTAACTCTCAATCTATTTTTGATTTAGAGATTTCGTCGTCGTCGCCTATACGCAACATTCACGTAAGATTCGAGACATAAAAAAGATAGTCGCGCCGTAAACAAGCCTGGAGCCAGTCATCCTTCGTACTATCATGCTGAATCAAGCTAAACAAAAACTGTAGAACCGGTTCAAAAGCCTGGTAAATCCTTCTTGTGTTGATGCGATAACTGCCGATCATTATAACGCCGCTGAGATTACTCGACAACGGACGACTAAACCGAAAAAACTTCAAGGAACGCTATTGCTTAATCGACACTCTAAGTTCGTTTACATTTGCCAGTGTGTTTTTATCTCTTGGCATCGACACTTCGGTAAGTACCTCAATATATTTATATTTGAATATAAGCCTACTTTGTTGTAAACAAGACAGATTAGAGATGAAGTATATATACACCCAGCTTTACCTGGTTCCTTGTTGCAAACCAGTGCAAATAATACGTCACCGTTGAATCGTGACGCACAACGACGCCGCATCGTATATAGTTTATATTTGTATCATTTTTTAGTTGTCAACACAGGTTCGGAGAAAAGGCTCTTGACGAAGCTGCGCTTGTTTCTGGCATTGCTTTTAGCTTTCCTGCTCTGACAAGTGACTATATAACATCGCAAGATGACCATACTGAAATAAAAAAAGCAACTTATTGTGTATTAAAATTAGCCCATCGCGTTGAATTACAATAGGGTGGCTTAACAGTATTTGCGGCCGTATATTGTAAATTTAATTATAATTAGAAATCTTAATTGGAATATAATAATATTTCATTTAATTACAGTAATGAATTATTCATAACATCAATGCGGTTACTTTATCAGCATGAATTCAATTCACTGTACTCTACTTTTATAATATTTATTTATATAATTTACTGTATAAAGTGGTAGATATTCCGTTATAAACCCAAATCGTGGTTAGCTACTAACAAATGTGTTATTTTTTTTGGCAACATCCGATAAAAACTTAATCTATTGAATTTCAAATGTGCTCTATTATGGTACGTAAATAATGATTATAACAAGAAACGCTTTTCTATCGCAACGCTTGGCCAGACTCAATCATTTTTTTCGATACGGCACCCTACGAATAGCATGTAGCAGGTTATTAACAATCGCTTCGCCGCGCCGAAGTGCTCACAAGTGAGCTATGATACAAACGGAACTACGTTTTTAAAACGTGAACGTACAACGAGCATGCCTTGAGGCAAACATATGGCCATACTAGTAGTTGTTGTTTATCCATACTAATCAATACTTCGACGACGTAGCAGATAAAAGGCGCGGATTAATGAAGTTGTATCGACCAACCAGTCAATACAAATTCGATATGTTTATCTTTTTATTACCTTTTATATGTTTATCAACTGGCTGCCGAGCCATGTTCCTCTACAGCCAATCTGTTTCGCGCGGGTACTTTGAACGAATCAAGTCGTGATACACAAAATTTCAGAAAATTGTGGATTTGATTTATAGCAACAGAAGTACGCTGTTTGGGCGGACATCTGTTCATATCGGTGAGAGAAGCCTGAGGTGAGGATGGGGATCTGCGCAGAAACGTATGGCAGTATAGTGCTACGGAGGAGATAGGCTATGGGCTGATTTCAAAAGGCATTAACGCTGCAAAGCTTTCATTAGGGTAAACTCTTCCCTACTTAATTATCGTATAGCAAGCGATACTTGTAAATGTGCCAACGACATCCTATGGAAAAGTAGCTTTAATTCTTCTTAATCTGTCACTCGAACGCAACCAAGTGTTTACTGTGAAAACTTTTGAGCTTTTTTTGAAAATTCACTAGATGGTTGCTTGCACAAAAAGAAATGTCGGAAACCAGATCAGAGATTTTGTAAATTCTGCTAGGTGTCCTTATAGACTATACAGGCCGACGAAATACGCACGTGACCGAACCCAATTCAAATTTGATATCACAAGAGAGGGAGCCCCCGCATGACTTTTAGTAATATTATTATTAAAATTAGCTTGTGATGAACGCACGCGCACACGCTTATACCACACCTGTACTCTTCCTTTTTGCTGTTATCGTCTTATGCGTTATGTCATTACGTGAGCTTGAGAAAAGAAGGAAAACATGAATTAAGCATGATGTCATTCCCAAACAACAGTTGTCTGCTTAACGACGACTCAAACAGCAAGGGGCATTTTGTGTCTCATTTGTACCGCGATTACAAGCTAAAGTCAAGACGTGTCATCGCCAAGCCGCACTACTAACACATAACAGAAGCGATGATAGTACTACACTTAATATCACAGTGTTACTTCAACTGAGCATTTTGTCAAATGACTTGCTCCGTATGCTAACTGTAGCTATATAAACAGACGTTACGTGACTGAATGCGGAAGATGACAACAACAATAACGACGACAGATCATTGACAAATCCGTAACTAAACGAAAGTTTGACGGCAAGCAACTAATACGGACTAATAACTAAGACGGACAACAAAGGTAGAGAGAGGGAGGGGCGCGGGGGGAGGTGCTTAATAAAACTCGTTCTCGTTGCAAGAGCTTTTGTAGACCAGCGTAGTACGGTACGTACAGTCAGGCAGTGAACACTTGAACGACTCCTGCGCAGACAGCCAACGGGGAAAGCAGCTCGATGATGTCTAGACTCTAGTGTCAGCCGTGGCTGGCGGATGGCATCACCACCAGGAAAAGTAACACAATTGCAATAAGAAAAGGACCGACGAACAGCATTAATATCAACAACTACAGCACCGCCACCATTGCTTTTATTCAACTAGAAGTTACGCTTTATTACAATAGCCACATCGCCTAATCCCACAGGGAACGGCAAACCAACGAACAGCCACGGCTATCAAAAGCGACTCGGTCTACGGGAGCATTGGAGCGGGCAAAAACGAAACAAATTTAATGGCTAAAGCTGCGCTTTGCTACGCGTATGGCAAGCAGCGCCGCGACGCTGTCGTTCGTTCCAGCAGTTGTCATGGTCGTCCTTCGCTGGCTGGGATTTTCTCCTCTCTTAGCCTTTATTTCCTCTATCTTAACGGCGTTTACAGGGGGGAGGAGGCGGGCGCAAGATCACAACGAAACGCAGATACGAGGGCTGACGGGGCAGCAGGCGGAAGAAGTAATAGTAGTAGAGCCACATACGAGACTTGTGCCGATGTTATGTTTGCAATTGCTGCCTCGTGCGCTGACTACCACGCTGACACTGCTATTGACGGGGGTTGACGACTGCAGGAACGGCCCATATTGGCCGCGGCTTTTACTTTGGTCAGGCTTAGCTTAGACTGATACTGACTGGAATGACGCTCCGCAACAGCAGCGCTGCCGCCAACGTGATAGCACCCCACTATCGACCGCGGTGCAAGGTCCAGCGCAGCTGTACGCTAAACACAGATGGAACGTCGTGTGCCTATCATTGCGATAAGACAAACTAACAGGCTTTTGTTTATCGCTGAAACAGTGAAACGACAAATAGGTCTACGTGCGTGCGAAGTAGGATTATTCGCTGCTGACCTATGCTGGTATCGATATCAAAGATGGACAGATGGTCCCGGAATAGGAACGGGCCTCACGGGCAATAGCCGTTGTTGTCGCTGGTTGCTGTTTGCTGTTTGCACTTTGTAATGAGGATGAAAGAGGGGCCAAAATTGAGAAGAATAAAGGAGAAAGAAATAAGTAAACGATAGAAAAAAAAACCAGTAGATCATCACACTAATTAACTTTTTATGAAATAATGAGATTGATATATACACATATATGTCGTATTATTCGATATACCAGGCGTGATAATCTTTTATAAAGAGACGCCTTTCATATGTGATATCTCTTGATTCTGTAACCACACTAGTACTAGTAAACGTGATTCAATTAGGTACGAAGTAATACCAAATTTGAGTTTACAAATCGTCTTCATTGAAGTTAGCTAATTGAAATCGACATTTGGTAACGACTAGGAATAAATCAGCTGGATTTATCTAAAGCTGAAAATTTTACCTTTTCGAAAAAAAACTGAACAATTTCTTAGTTAACATTAAACATTATAGTAATAAAAAAGCGCGTATAACATATAAAAAGGTAGTGGAACATTCGAATTTTTTTGCAAAATATCCGGCTCTGGCAATATACATACGAAGACAGCTATAATTTCTGAAGTGCGGATTATTTTTAAAAGGCAGGCTAAAAATGTTTTTAGCAAACGTTCACCTGACCTCGGTTGTACAAATGGATAATATATCATAATTTACCTTATAATCCATATTATGTCTGTACTATTTAACATAGGGGTAAAAACTTCTTCTAATTCTTTCAGTACCCAAATTCATTGTATCTTTCACACAGACGTTCTTGATATTGAAGCTTTCCCCGATTACATACGCTATGGTAGAAGATTTGATCGGCTATTTCATATTTAAGAAAAATTACACAAATCGAGTGTATTTATACATGTGCATCAGTTAACTTATTCATTGCGATGATTTAAGCAATATATTATGTAAACAAACGCACCCTTGTAACTTTCTGTAAATACTTCCCAAAAGTGACTTTTTTCAACTTATCTTCGATCATACCTATGGACAAGCGAATGCAAATATTATGTAATCGATAACGAATTTATTATTGTTATCTATTACATAACCTTTGTATGATTAAAGTACGTTGCAATAATAGCCAACAGGCAGCGTTGAAAAAACTAAAGATCTTTTTTGGCTGTATTGTCCTAACTTTTCAGCGACTTATCTATGTGTGATACATTAGACAACGAGCCGACTTTAAGCCGAGAAAAGTAGGAGTCTATGTTAATACCTGGACCCTTTTTTAGGTAGAAGTCAGCCGGCACAATTCGCAGAAAGTTTATCGGTTGACAAAAAAAAATTGTTGTCTTGAAGTTTTTTTTTCGCGATAACAATCCGTTCAGTTTTCATTGCGAATTTTTAAGCTTAGTTAACATTTTAATGTTTAGTTCACAATTTAGCGACTACAATTGAAGAACAACTTACAATTGAATTTTAAATCAAAATATGCTAGTAAATTTTACTTCGTGACATCTTTTTTCGTTGTAGCAAACTAACCACGAGTACTTTTTGTGAAAGCATAAATCTCTCAATTGTGCCGTTTTTGCCTGTTGGTCAATTGAGCCATCAAAACACATCGATTATGTCAAAGGCTCCACCGTTATTCGCAGGGGTTGTTCGGTTATATATGTCAATTTAGACAAGTCATACTCTCGCTCGTAGTGTCATACGGGTCGCGGCTGCATCGTAGCTTCGTTCAGCTTGCACTTTGATTATTATGTAACAGTTTAGCGATGTTACGACCGGGTAAGGGGGAAGGCGATAAAAACGCGCGAGGGCTTTTCATGGTCTATGCCTTAGTCCTACTGAATTTGTCGCCGTCGTTATTACCGCCCTCTTTAGGCCCGTGGCTTTGATTGACCACCATCTGCGATCGGGGGATCACCCTTTTCCGAATTCCGAGAACAGCCATAACAACTGCAACGCCATGAAACGCTTAAATAATACTGCCTTCCCCTCTCAGGCCGCTGGCTTCAAGCAAATGTATAACAGCCAGGGGTGCACCCTTCGACGTTGTGATTGTTATGACAATGAAGGCACTAACCTTACTCAAGCGGCGAATAGATGTTGTTGGGGCGATGGAGGGCCGTTCGATAGGACTCACAGCATTAGCTGTAAGCTAATGGGAAAGTGCACATATGTGATGAAACAGCTCCGCCGCTCTGTCCATCTGCCTCGTAAAGCTAATCCGCTGATTGACTCTAAGGCTAGCCATCTTGCCTAGCAGGCGCACGTGGTATATAGCAGTAATGCTCCCACTTTTTCACTAACGAACTTTTGCTCTATATTACTTTATTGACTATCCGGCAAAACTGAGCATACAGTTGTTGCCAGTGGTGTCATGTCGTCGCGTTTAACGCATAGTCCTGGAGCGATCTGTTCATAGCAGGGGTACGAATAACGGGTCACATTGCTCAGCGGCACTTCATGACGTAATTCAGATGCTGTTACGTAGTAGAAGCGCTACGGCACGCGCCTGTGTGTGTGCGTCCCGGTACGCTGGTAAGACAAATTCATAAATGTTCGTAAGCTAAAAGAGCCGTCGTACGCAGGACTTGTCTGTAACAGATTTCAGATTTTTATATATCTGAATTCGTTTATGTATGTCAAGTTCCCATCGAATAGATAAATGAACGCTGTTATCGATCGCGTAACTTGTGGATAAATATCAACGTTGGAAGTTGCAGTCCGTTCTAATATTCGTGTTCACTTCAGAGCCGAACCTAGATCTTTGGTGGCTTATTTCGAAAATGTCATTTGTGATTTACCGGCCATAATTTAATTTATGTGGTTTTCAGCGATTTATTGAAAAAGTTTTATTTAAAAGTTCTTTTTACCAAAAGTGAACATCTATATTAATAAATAATAAAGAAGCGGTGCTTTGAAATTAAAGACAAAGACCAGGCGTGTTAGTTCCTTATTATTTGACTGTTCGTAAGTGGCAAATCTCATCCAACTGTCGTTAAGATAAGCAAGTTTGTAATGACATTGGTCAGGGTCACTCGGCTATAGCGTTAGAAATCGGCTTGGGATTACTTAGACAAATGAAAAATCCGCTTCTTTGAGATATGCCTTCATTTCAGGCACGCAAGGCGCAAGATCTGTGCCGAGAATTTCAGGTCTCCGGGTAGTTGGCTTGATCATTTCGAAGATTCATTTTCGGAGATTTCCAGTTTACCTTTTGCTGAACGTTTTTTTATGACTGATTCTTTACTTTATTCATTTAAGCCGGGTGCAGCTAAGTATCACTTGACGCATCAACATTTGATTAAACAATAATAAATTCGTTCGGTGACTTTAGTTAATTTACAACAATACTCCGACTAATTCCATATGCGCTCTCAAGGTCCGAGCTGACAGTTCCATAACTGCGACGAATACAACGACGCTTGAATATTTGTGGGCGTATTTTCAAAGATATCGTTTGAACATTTTGTTAAATGGCAGATTAGGAGTTTCAAATACTTTTAGCTTTTTTTTTTTCCTAAGCCTGAATCGGATTAGGGATTAGACATGAAAATGCATACGAACCAGATCAGTTACATTCAGGTTAATTGTGAATGTCATCTAGTGGATATGGATGTGCGTTTACAATCAATATCTGTGCTTCAGTTAGGGCCTTCGAGTTTCGATGTATTTCTTTCTTTGTGGCGTGAACTGAAACAGCAAGCTTGCTCACTCTGTCAGTATCGCACTCCGATTTATAATGGTGCAATGTGCGAGCCTTGTCATCCATCGATGTCTGTCAGGCTGGTAAGAAAAGCTTGGACATTCGCCTCTAATATCCACATGGCGGGCTTTAGATGTGAAATAGCTTAAAGAAAATTACGAAGCACTGCTAAGGGATAGCAGATTTACACGGATAGCCACTGAACTATCTCTGCACAGGGCTGGCTTCTTGACAAGATGCAACATACGGTAAGTTTTACAGGACACAGAGGTAAGTTTTAAGGCTACTCAAATTCCTTTAAAATCTGTCTATGCGAAAATCGTTGCATCTAAGGAATAGTATTCTATCCTTCCGAGAGTTCTTGCCATGAAAAGGACGATATCACAGACAAATTTCTTAGTACACGATTTACTGCTACGGCCAAGCGACGTATTAGCCCAGTCAACGTACAGTTCAGATCTGGAGAAAGCTTATTAGGAAAGTTTGTTTTTTTTCTAGATTTCGTTGTAGGTAGAGTTGTAAGTGTGACTACGACGTATTTTCAGCACATTACAACGAAGTAGAAATATTTAGCGCGCAGTTGGATCTATTATCAAACAGTATACGTAAAAACATAGAAAAAAAAAACGTTCATAACTCGTGCTATAAACAAAACGATTTAAATTAGAATGCCTCTGATTCGAATCGGCAAGGATGTAGTACTGAATTTTGTAGATTATAAAGGTTTAGCTTCAACCAGACCCAGTTCAAGGCAACGCTTTGAGCTCTAGTGCAAGTGTGCAATCGCCATGATAGAGGCGTATGGTTCGTGTTTTTACTTCTCGTTATATTAGCCGAATACGTGGTCATAGCTACAAACATGTGTCTGCTATTATACGAGACCCGTCCATGGAATATGAAGTAAGATATAATCGCTAACTCGTTCTTGGGATCAAAACCACAGCATACGGAAAAGTTGCGAACGGAGCCTATCTGAGGGCATGAGCACTAGATTGCAACTTGAATCGCAATTAAAATACTCTCTATGAGGTCATTTGCTCAACATCGATGGGTTGTTATCTAGCAATTATTAGTTCATAACTCTTTTTTAATACAGATTGTGTACAGTTTATGGTACTTTTTATTTGACCTTTTTACCGAAGATTCGTGGTGCCAGAATGAAGGATGATACTATTCAACCAGTCAGTTTTCCACGAATGTGATTTCCGTATTTTGCTTGATATTTTATAAAGTCAAGCTTATATTTCTAAGGGAGGCTAAGCTATTGGAACGCAAATAGCTACTTAAGAAGTTAATTTGAAAACCTCTTATGATGGCGGTTTAGGTGTTTGAAAATGCATATTCCCGATATTAGTATAGCTCAGGCGTTACGCAGAAAATGGGTATTCATCGAAACTACCTGCTTGGACAATTGTCTTCGACTCTGTATTTATTATTAGCTATAATAAAGAAGTATTTAGATAGTTATATTCATATTGGTCAAACTTAACGAGTTAACTGTATATGTTTGAAAACCGATCTTATGGGCACCTTGTTGAACTATGAGGTGCCTCTTGATTTATATAGAAGATCATATATATATATGTGTGTGTGTGTGTCACCATTTTAAAGGAGCAAATAAGCCTGTCATAAAAACAAAAAAAGCATGTCTCTATCTAACGCATCATGATTAAGATTTTTTCGTTTATCTTTAAGATATAATTTATATCTTATTGATGCAATAAACCAGGAAAGAAATATGGCGCATGGTTGGGCTATCATTCCGCTATAAAAACCTGCTCGTCACAAGTTTCAGCGGTGTAATGAAATGGGCATAGATATTCCGTGGACCTGTCATGGATGATCTCCGCAGAAATACCTGACTTTTTAGATCTGAGTTGATTCAATATACAGAGAATAAAAGCTCAGAGGAAGGCACAAGTTAAATGACAAATTAGTCATTTTTCCCGCTCAAGATACGTAAGTTGACTTCATAAGCTCTACATAGAGGAACGATCAATAACGGGTAGGATCCAAATAAAAAGTTTCTTTTCTATTCTACATTCATCCTTCATTTTTCATTAAAGTTTCGCGTAGCCTGTAGCCTAGTCGTTTAGATGATCGAAAATGACTTGCGTACGTATAAGTAACACGAACGCAAACAGCCCTGCTCCTTTGTAAAATTATATCTGAATACAAATAAATCTAAACTGGTTAAGCTACAAAAAGTTATGCGTCAATGCAATTGTTGTCAGCTCGTTTCTACATATTCAACAATTGTATGTTAGCAAATGATATCAGCAATAGCCAGACACTTAAACATTATCTGATTAAGCTAAAACTCGTTCAATTGCTCACCCATTTTTTCGACACGGAGTCACATCTTGAAATTTCTGATAGCTCGAGTGCATATGAAGAGGATTCATCTTCCGGTGATTTTTTCTTTTATTTATTCGATAGCGATCCACATGCAAGGTGTATGTCTGTTGTATAGAACGCCTGGACACTCCGTCGCACACTCACCCAAGTAATTACGAATCACTATAACACTATGGTGAACTGGATGTCGTTCGTAGGGCCTCTTTTACGCAAAAAAAAAGTTCGTTTTTTTTTGGCTTTTTTCGTTTATTTGAACATGTGTTTTGTTTGCTGTTGTCTGTCTTGTCAGCAGCAATTGGTAACAGTAAGGTCTACACTCGAACTGAGGCTATTCAATGCAACGGCGAAAATCTCTTGAACAAAGGAGTGCACAGACAGTAATAGGATACTGCTGGGATCTTCCCCGCATATATTACGAAATAAATCGAAAGACCCGCTTTTTTGCTAACCTGTTCTTCGCCGTTGTTTTGTTCGTGTAGGTTACGCTGAATGCGACTGTACTTTGTTATTTCAAAATCAACGCAGACACCATTCACATTTCGGTGCTGATTTCAGTACTACGCTTCCAGGAGTTTCCCTTGCTTGTTTTTACAGTTGCAATTAGCACTGTCTTCCAGCTAATCAGGCGATGTGCTTCTCGACTGATGTCTTCACTGACGCCGACGTGAACTGTTAGAGAACTTATTCTCTGTGAGTACGTTGTCGTTTGAAGCGGCCGCTGTGACCGAAGATGTAAATCGGCCTGGCCCCACGGAACCGTGAAAGTCCACTTAGCGAAGTCGACGTGATGGCCACCTGCCCATGAACTGAATCACACGGCGTCACTGCCAAGCGGCTACTTGTCCAAGGCGAAAGATGGAAGTAGTCGTTAGGAAAGGGACCCTGGCTGCCCCTACCAGCGAAACAGTCCAAAGCTACAATAATCGTAACGTAAATGGAGTGCCTGCCGGCAGTAAACACTACTGATATCACTACTACTATTACTTTTGTGTGGCGACAAAGGTCAGTTGATTAGTCCCTGTCTGTCTTCTCTGACTCTTTTCACAGGTTTGTGTTTGCCAGCAGTAACAACAACAACAGTACAACACTGGCAAATAACAATAAAATGCTATGTCAATTGCCAACATCAGATCTAGGATAGCCTTTTCGTGTCTTGGCCTGCTACCTGGATCGGTCAAAAAGAATGGAAAGGCTACAAGAACGTCACAACAACGACACAATGAACCGATGAGGCACACGCAGCCGCAATCACTGGGCGGGTTCCAGATCCCACCCCATGATGTCGAGCAACCCCTACCTGACCGCTGGTTTCGTTTGCTAAAAAGAAATTCGACGCGCGTCTCGTTTAGAATGTACAGCCAATATAACAAAATGGCTTCGAGCTGAAAATGGTGTTCATTATTCTCAAGGGGTAACTTGGTACAAAGATATCCAGCTACAATATTTAGACGTGTGAGGTTAAAATCCGATGGGGTGAAAATTATATCTTTATAGTTGATAACTGGGAGAGCTCTTCGAGGTGAATGAAACCATTATTCATTTGTTCGAAAAATCTCGCGGCATCAACGGGCTTATGCGAACGATGATTCGTGATGATGGAACTTGTAAGTCATACGTGGGTCACCTAACATACTGCATAATCTTTATCAAACCTATCAAAGAAATGAAGATAAGTTTTGTAAATCTATCAAACTAATATTAACTGTAACAAATTTTGCATAGATGCGTTAGGTTGAAGTATCCACAAAGAGTCACGAGTGCGCAAGTTATCAAAAACAAATTGGCCAGCAGGGCTAGTAAATGTTCTCTATTGACACAGTAGACAGGAGCGACAAGCTTATGTGTCAAGTACCTTTAACTTTGTTCTATTTCACTCGACTCCGATATTCATAGCGATGTCGAGGGAACCCTTTGGATCAGCTGGGAGCGGATGAAGAAATTGGGCCCTCACCGACCCTCGCTAGAAACTAGCTGCCCTCTCTTCAAACAAATAGGCCTTTTAGAGAAAGGGCGCCAATTTTGAAATCTTCTGCGGATGGGAGATGGGAGCAAACGTTTGGTAGTCATGCACACTATAAAGCATTGCCCCAGGAAACAAAGCAAACTCTCCACGCTCAAATTTAAATAAGCTAAGCCCTATTAAAATGGGAACGCCAGATGAACATTAAAAAGAACTGTCTTACTTATAGAGTAAACACGGTTATTTATCGAGTATACGTACGCATCTCATACGTTTTACGATCAGCCCTTCTCACCATATTAGTCTCATAAAACAAACTCGAATTACGTTTAAACGCGCTGAATCCTTTAATAAAGGAGGGTGTCTGTTCAACTTTTTCATCTCACTTTGAAGAAAAACAGATCGCTCATCTCTAAGGCATATTACTGTAGTACATTTCATAAGAAGTGGAATGGGAGACAGTCTATCATAGCAACGATGAGTCTATATGACGAATGAGATAGAACATCTTGGTTCCAGCTCGTTGTACAGGCACTGGTACGAGATGAGCACCAACCATCGCTGGAAAACTACTTAGCGAAAGATTATAGCTTGTATAATATTTAATCCATAACCTTATTGTTGATCACGTCCTTGAAAGTGGTACACCTTACATTTGCGGAGACACCTTGAAGGTTGATGCACATATCTTTTAGCATATAGATGGATCCGAACGTGTTTGATAACACATAGAAAATAATCTCTCGCCGATAATAACCGGACCTTGTCTAGCATAAAATGCTAGTTTTCACTCATAAACATTGCTATCAATTATTAAACGTGGCCTCAGCAGCGGGCTGATGAGAGCCTTGAAATCTTTTTTCGTGAAATACGCTGCCCATTCTTTAGATTGTGCGTTCGGTAACTGCTAAAGCCTCATATAAGTGGCACATCCTATAAATATAGCTGCCTTTACTTTCAGGGAATAACAATGTTATACGCGGGAGTATGTAAATCTACTGCTACGCGCTATTTCGAATACAAGTTTACATGCACAATTTACAATGAAACTAACTAAACGCTTTCTAAATAACGTACGATAGAAACGAAACTTTCAAGTCAATAGGACATCTAGATTTTTCAAATAGAGGTAGGTCTTAAGGACTGAGAATTGGTGTTACTAGGTTGTTTTCGGCAAGTTTTAAACGAAGCATCATATAAGCTATTAAAAGCTGGACGAATGCCAAGCAGTGTACCAAGGCACACCGATTGTTAATAACAATTTCAAAAGTACAGAAAAATATAACATTTACAAGATATTAAAACCAATTTAATATTTAGGTAATAGCGAAATAGTGCAATTCTGGACAATGCAAAACGGAGTATCCATAGCGGGCTCAATGACAAAAGGGAGCGCGGTGTACCTTTCGTCATGATTTAGCAAGAAGTGGCCAACGAATATCAGCTTTAAGGAACCGATCTAGCTAACAGTTACTTATCACATGTCCAGAAAAAAATCATCGTCTTAGCATTTTAAAAACTTTACTTACGAAGGAGCGGGTAAGCTTTGATACATGTGAACGAAATCAGGCAGAACGCTAGCGGGTACCATTGCATTTAACATTCACTTTCTTTGGGGTAAGTTTCAATCACCATTCTATACTTATCGGTGAAAAAACTTGCACTGAAACGCTTGTGAACTTACTAGTATTTATAAAACTGCGGGAAACCGTCCAGTCACCCAGCAGCTAAATAGTTAACGAATATTTCTTATTTTCACCAGACACCAAATGCATAGTAGGATCAAAGACTGACTAATGAATTATTATTATCCTGGGCATAATCTCTTGACTTAGAAGCATTTTTTATCCTAGCTTTCGCATTCATCGGTAACTATTGTTTACAAATAACTAATTCAGCTCGTTTTGTTAAACAAGGAGTGTAGGTATTTGTGGCAAGAGGTATCAATTCTGCTTCTGCTACATTCGTTTGAAAGTTTACAATAATATTACGGTTTTACAGTAATAAAATTGGTTCGAATAGATGGTAAGCAACATAATACACCATACATAGACGTGCAAATGCATGAATATAATAATATGAGTATATCTAAGAGAATACTAAGATATATGTTAACATTGCTTTCATAAAATGCCAACCCAAAAAAGTTTCTGAATGTATAAATTTAATATAATAATTTTCTTCATTTGAAATTGAATATAAAACACAAAGAGGTAGAAGTATTAGGTTAGTTAATTATTTAAGAATACCTAGCAAAAACCTTGCTCTAGGAAAACCAATGCCTGACAAATTTAATTCCATGCAACAGGTGACTTTGGTGCCAGTGAAAGTGGCTGAAGCCAGGGACCTATGGAAACGTCTAGAAGATTTTTCTGTGGCAGACTTCAAACGATTTAGTCGACTGGGGGTGATAGAAGCACGACTATGCTTGGTCTTCTTTGAACATGAGACGGGGATAAGAGGCTGAATTATTGAAAAATGGAAGAGACCTCCCGTAAGCCTCCTTCTAACTTAAGGGGCACAAAGTTCGACAACAAGTGCCGACGTCGTAAATTAAATGATATGAAATATTTAAAAGGAAAGTCATTGGGAAGGTTAAATAAGCGCGAGGCGCTTCATGATATTGAACAGCAGTAACGTAACTCAATGGGAACGCACAATATCAAACTTTTTGACGCGTTTGTATTGCCTATTATATAAGGATACCGCTATAACGAAAACAATGTACAGAGCGCTAGCAATAGGACACACTTCACCGATACGTGTTCACCCGTCGCATTTGAGGTCATAAAGAGAGCCTTTTTTAAACCGAAGCCTTAGTCTTGTTGTACTGAAGGTAGAAATTTTTTTCTCAGATCTTCCGCATATGAGCAAGGATCGGTTATTGTACAATGTCTGCATGCTGAACTATTTTGACCGAAAAACCTTTTTAGTTGCTTGAAGTTCATGGTATGCCATGTCTCAAAGATATGGATGTCAAAGAGAACTTATTCTCATAAGTCAAGAAGTAAAAACTATCAAAAATAAAGATACACATGTATTAAAAACTAATTTCTGACAATACTTTCTGGCGTTAAATCTACTTGCCCTACTACTAAATTGCCCAAACTATTTAAATGAATACTTCAGAAACAAGCGTAAGGTTACGTCATCAAAATGATGCAAAAAGCCCCTGAGGACGAAAATCAGTTTCTCTTGACTTTTTTCAGTGAAGTAGCAGCAATAAAAAAATATTCTCTGTTAAAAAGCTATCAAAGGAGCGACTGCTGGCTTGCCTAACGATCCAGATGCTTCATTGTGTGTAAAACTAAACCAGTGTCCGCATTTAGTGTTTTATGTAGTAAAGGAGACATCGTGCCGCCATTATTTTCGCAGAATGGTCTATTCGTAAACAGATAAACTTGTGTGGCTATTTTTTATATAAACCTATAAACAATACTGTATATATATTCTGTGTGTAAAACTGTATAGTTGAAGAAAATGAAACCGTAGCACCGCTTTGTTGAGTAATAGCAAACCATGCGTCGCCAGCGGGATAACGCACCAGCTTATACAAACAAATTCGCACAGAATCCATTGGCTAAGCAACAGAACATAAGAAAAGCATATAACGCTTATGGCCGTTTAACATCCCAGATTTAAATCTCCTGGGTCATTATGTGACGCGTGATTGAGCTGGAGTACAAGAAATCTCAATTTGAACAAGTTGGCTAGCTCATATCATTATTAAAAGGCGCTCAAAAAGAAGCATTCAAGTGATATGACATGGGTTTGTAAATGGTTTAGGCTTGGATTAGAGTCGTGAACAAAACGAATGGCATGTACATTGAAAACATACATCCGTCGAAAATGAGCCTATCGACATTCGCAAAGATGTATCTGATTATCTATCTCTATTAAAATATAGGTGACATTATTATGGTACCAGTGGAAAAATAAAAAAAAAAATACAAAACGGTTCGTGTGACAATATTCAGGTGAAAGTGAACAGGCATGTGGATGTTCCATAGATATATCATATAGACATACTTTGATTTTCGGCTAATCTTTATCTAAATTAATTTTGATCTCTTGCTTATCACCATGACCTCGCTAGAATATTCGAGGTTATGTGAGCTTAAAGATGCGTATGATAAATCACCGAATTCACTGATAACTTTGTTATGATGGTCGTTCAAAACTTTATAGATGCTCTAACTACAGAATGTGTTATCTATCACGAATGCCTAAGGCATGTCTTTATTGATTCAATAGGTTCCTCCACCTACTATTATTTCATCGAAAGCTTTCTTTAACTACTGTCCATCAAAAATGTTTTTGGCATGTTAGTATGTTGTTTCAAACATGTTGTGTGACTGACTGCTTTTTATGCGTATATGCACTCAACACAGATGCATGCGTTCATGAACAAAGGGAAGGCACATCTTTGCATGATAGTTCCTCCAATAAAGGCATCAACACCCTAACGAATATTTACAGTTATGCGAAGCTATGATCAAATATTACTAGGACTAATTCTATTGGCCAAAACTAGACAAAGAAAATCATTCAGTTAAAGAACCAGCGCGGTTGTATAGTACAGAAGATAATATGGAATGCATGAAATCTAGAGTATCTATTAATACAGCTGACATAATGAGCTAATTTTAAATTGCTCTATTAAAAAATTGATACATTCATACAGTGTTGTCATTTTCTCCACCATTAAGTGAATATTGCATTTATACCGATTGATTTTAAAACAGATTTTTTAAATTTTTTGACATACTTAAAAATTCAGTTTTAAAAAAGGCCCACTTCTGAAGCTATGAAGACAGCTTCTGGCCTCTGCATCTAGTTTGTGGTAGTGCCCCCATATCTAGTATTACTAGTAATATTACACTAATCGACAACTGTTTTAATACATTGGGAAAGTCTCGAAGCGGATCGAATAAGTAACAATAGATGAAGTTTAAATTTTATAAGTAAAGTAATTTTATTTCAACACGAGACATAACTCTATGAAAAACCCTTGCAATAGCAAATAATGCCTTTTTCGAACTCAACTTCAACTATACGTATCCTTTATTGCTATTTTCAGTCTTGAATAACCTTTAATGCATATACAACAAACAACATTTACATTTAACGTGTATACTGGTTTATATACAATTTACGAAATAACTATATACAAGAAACAATGATCCAACGGATATGTTTTAATGTACTCATGTTTAATAAATTCATACAGCTTAGTAGAAAACATTTTTTTACAGATTTATATTAAGCAGTCATCAAGGACTTCAACAGTCCTACTGTAAGATATTGGTGATTTATGGAGAAAAGAACGTGTTCTTCCTCTATACGCTGGAGAGTACTGATAGAAGTTTCTGTCGTTTCCGATATTTGCTGTTTGAAATAACATTATTCCAGGCATCCTTATTATTGTCCTCAAAATAATTGAGTCCCCAGTGAAGAAAAATGAACTTGCCGATTCGATCGCCTGCATATATAATTGAAAATAATGGCAAAATACATTTAAGCTAGAAGTCGGTTTAAGCAAATAAATACTGTAAAATTATACTTCACAGACGAACACTTCAGTGATACAGATTGTTGAATTACTATAGAACGACCGTCTAAGACGTCCAAATGAAAAATGTTATGTCTTTTTTAAGTAATATACTTTTCTTCAACAATCTTAAAACTTATTACGGAACTCACGTCAATCACTAAAACTAACAAATTATAACTCACCCAGTAGTGTCTTTTTGTGTTTTATCAACTCCGCGGCGATCACCCTGATTGTTTTTACTTGACAGTTGATCATCACCTAATAACAAAGGGATATTATGCTATTACAGAAGATGTTTAATAATAAATCCGACCAAATATCTACAGTTTTAAAAGTCACCTTACAAAAATTTGAAAAATAAATTAATTTCGTAAATCCAAGCCTTACGCTGGAACACACAGCTAAGCAAGAAACAATTTCGGGCTATTAGTATTTTGTGTGAATTGATCGGACTAATCAGACCGCAGAATGATCGAAGCAGAAAGTAAGTACCAGTTGCTTACCGCATCTAGGAGTCGGCTGCCAAACTTATCAACCGCTAATTCTACAGATTTTTCAACGAGTCTGGAAAGCATCTTAAGTTTAACTTTTTCACCAATTGTTTCGCTTGCCACTACAGCTTCGAGCAAATGAACGTGTGAACTACAAGCTAAATTAAATAGTTCCTGGGCAGACAAATCGTCCAGTGCTCTCAAAACCTGTAAAGACACACATGGTATTCTCGTCATTTCGCTTACGCGGCTTGTAAAATAAACTGTTTTGATTTCACCTATATGTGTTATGAAAAAAATACAACTTATGTGAAAACCTATAATATAAGCATAATATGCCGTACTTCCCGTTCGTCTACTTTGTTGCCACTCATATTCACTAAAAAATTTACTACATTTAAATGCGTTTTGTTATTTTATGAGAAATCTTTTCAATAATTACTCTAACGCTTTTCCCTACTAAAAAACTCGTAAGGGTGAGGCCTTAAAGAAGATCAAATAATCAGTTGGTTCTAACGACGTTATACCTTTTGCTGAGCTTTGAAATTGCAAATGACCTTGAACATGGGTCCCAAGCTGAGATTTCTGATAAGAAATATAAAGTTTTGCTCGGATCCGCCTTCTCTTTCTGTCATTGCAGCAAAAAGCTTATCCGAATAGTCACTCTGTTTTATGTCGAACCGTGCACATGCTTTTGCCACTGAACCGTTCTTCGTCAGCAGCTCGAAGGTCCATTTATTTGCCAGCTTATCGTATATCTCTACAAACTAACAAATGAGATGTTTTATAATAACCGCTTTAAAACACTAAAACAAGCTCTACGTAAATGCAGTATATACTGAGTTGGAGCTTTTGATTTTTTAATTGTAATTTATTTATTCTTCAAGGACAACTTCCGTTTAAATTAGCTATTACCTACCTCATCTTTATCTTCAAGTGCTTCAAACATTCCACTGATAATGCCTGGATTGGTCTGCGAGATTTTGTCAACGAATTGTAGAACTTTAGTAATGCATTTTTTTGACAGGCCAAACTTTCCTGCGTGTCGAAGGACCGAGGCTACAACGATAAATGAATCCGCATTCGTCAGCATACGTTCGGCATCATTCCTAATCTCAGAGTTAGGAAATTAATTAATTGATTAAGGATCGCGCTTTATTCCTTAAGGCGTAATTCAGTAATGCGTACTAAGGATTAGGTTGCTTTAAAAAGGCCATAGTGAACACAGTAAAATAAATGCACACCATGCATGCATTTTTTTGCATAAATATATATCTAATATATCTAACAAAAATATATCTAATAAATAAATAATAAGTAAAACATAAATATATCTAATAAAGGCTTAACTGCGATGAAAAAGTTACCCGAATATGTGTTTGACGAATTTTTTAATGACTTTCTTGATCTCAAGAGCTGCCGCGAGAGTTACTGAAAGGGAAATAACGAATCGCGCTTTGTGGTGGCATATCAGGGTTTCCAGTTCAGCCTCAGTTGTTAGAAACGTAAAGTAACGGTCCCGAAGATCAGTAATCTGGTCGGACATAACCGTCGTTTCTGAAGAAAGATATATAATAAATATATATATATATATATATATATATATAAAGATATATATATGTAATGACTAATTCCAGATACTGACTGTGGACATGCAAAATATACCAAAAACAACTCGTTTAGTCTATTAGACATAATAACATTATGATATGATACAGTACTACATTAATATTTCAATTTCCAGAGCTGCAAGCGGAAAAAGACAAAAAAAATTATTTAAAACAAAAAAAGTTTGACCCATTTTGATAAACACAACGATGAAATGAATACTTCAGTATTATATTATCAAACGAAAAGTGAAGAACCACCTTTTTCAACTTCTCCGTGTAGATCTTTAAGAAATTTTTTCCCACATAGCGCACATAGTATTCGTTGAGTGAATATTGTCTCCTCGTAGAAGTAACGTTCGATATTATCGACAATGAACAATCCAAGACAATGAAGCCATGTACAAAAGATTGTCTTATAGTCTACTGAAGGATTATCGTTACCTTCATTTTCCTCGTCGCTTTCGTACGTCGATACAAACTGAAATGTTACATTTAGGGAATAATTAATAAATAACACATCTTTAGACGATGTGATAACCATATTTGTATAAACACGGCTATCTTAATATTCTAAAGGTAAGCGTTCGGTAATGTTTCTTTGATCATGCATGGTAGTGGTCGACTATATCATTGTCCAAATTGGCAGCTGTTTTGTTATTCACCAAGTCCTTTCAATTTACCTTTTCAGGTGAGCGGAAATAGTCGAGAACGGAATCCATCAGAGCTTCAAAAATCTTAATAGTCTTGTGCTGAGGAGGAGTTTTTTCGATGTTGAAAGCACGCATAAAACGTGCAATCACGGCTAATTCGCGACTCCGAGTCAAAAATTCTGCCACGTTGGAGTTAAGATGATATGACTCACTTTTCGCTAGAAGAGCTTCTTTGGCAAGCGTTTGTTTGAGAACGTTTGCTATCATAATATCTAAAGCAAGTATAAACAACAAATTACTGCAGGAATGTATTTATTTAATTTAATTACATATATTGAATAACTAAATGTGTGGACTATTAAATGGTTCCTGTTAAAGATGCTATAGCACTTCTCCAAATAATGGGGGACGAGAATCACCCATGCCAATACTACCCTGCAATATTTTTTTATGCTTACTAACCTTCTTCATCTTTATTCATTTTCTGAGTTTTCCAGTGTGCTTTCATCTGTGAAAGAAAGTTTTTCACTTCAATCAGATCGGGATGGACATGTTCATGATCTTCTTTAAAACGCTTTAAGTCATTTTGCCCATGACTCTCACAATTGCCAAATGACCGCTTCGAGCTTCGCCTAAAAGTTAAGTAATGCTAACTCTTAAGTAATATAAAAAAAACGGGTAAGTAGTAACATACACAGGTATAAATCAATAGCAGGGGTGAATTTCCCCTCTCACGAAAACATATAGAGGGTATGAATTATCAAATGGCTCAACTTAAAATGCTTAGTATGTACCCAATATTATACCTGTCTTCATAGAACATAACGTTTTGAGATGTCCCTCGACGAAAGCGTTTGCTACCTTGGCTTCCTCGGCGCTGCATATTTAATAACGACAGCCTGCAAAATCATAATGTAAAATTAAAGTAATGCGCTTATGAAGCTCAATGTCAATCAATTATAGAAATAAGAGAGAGCAATAATGATGTCCTATTCATCGTCAAAAAATAAGCGCAATACAGACCAACTTAAGGATATTCTCAAAAAGGTGAGGGTGTTTTAGCTAAAAGTTCAGGGTATTTTCTATTTAATTATTTAGCCACCAAAATAGGAAAACAGAATTTCATAAGGCGTACTAACATAAAACGAACTACTCTCTACTTCACCGTATTGTACATTGCTAATGAACCCTTTCAAATTATAAAAATGCAAATACATTCACGTGGTAATTAGTTTCGATTTCTTTTTCAAATTCAATAGTCACAAAAAGGTCACTTGTCACCAATATCTATCTGCTACGCGTTAAATTTATATATATATATATAGCTGTAAAAATATACATACACTTATTATGTTGACTGCGCCTACTTAAGGTTACTTCTCTAATGAAATAGTTAAAACACAGTTTCCACGATGATTACTGCACGCGATAGCCGTCACATGTCCTAATATTATTGTTTAGTGAGGTGAGCGACACACGGGCGCCACGCCAAACATCTACTTTGCTCAAATATTTGGCAGAGTCTAGTTAGGACTTTTTCACGCGCTTCTTTGGCTGATTCTGATAATTCAATTGAAACACTAGAAATTGTGTACTTAGAAGTGCAATTAGGATAATCAAAACTGCTTGCGCATCAGGAACATATGAAGCGAGGAGACGTTTATAAAAATAAATTGCCAAAAACAAAGAATCTCCGTATATTTGAAAATACGCGGGCTTTATTAAGTGTTCGTCTGTTTCGATAACTTTCATCACTGTGCGTGTCACTTTGAACTTGAACTCAAAAGTAAACCAAAAAGCTTTTCTTTTTTGTCTGTCTTGTAGTATTTGTTGCCCTGTATCCAGTGAAGTTTCCATATTGCGTCGTGAAAACTTTACCAATGCCGTTGCGGCCAAAGAAGAGAAAGAAGCCCCTAACCGATACGCATATTGGGGGATGATTCTAGCAAACATGGACAATTGAGCAGACGCTAAAGTCTGAGCTAGAGTCTTGTGATGATCGTGGTGGTGCGCCGATAGAGGCTTAATGTCACTCTCAGTTCTTAATACACAACGAGAGCACCGCTGGAGAATCAAAACAAAAGCGTGGAACCCGGAGATATAGTAATATGTTGGTGTGGTAGTAATAGCTCCGATGTCATTTTTGTCGCTTATTAACGTCGGCCAGAACAACGACGCGTTCTCAGATCAGGAAGCAACAAAGTGCCAAAGAACGCTACAGCGAAGTGGTGGTTGATTTCGTGTGTTTCGTGTCATATGCCCAGCGGGAAGGTGTGGGCGAGCTGCTATTAGGTGGGGACGCTGGAATGGAATCGACCCTATGCGTTGACGATGAACTCAAGGAGGACGAGTACGACGCGCTGAATGATGAGACATTCGGCGGGGCCGAGGCTGACGACGCTTGGGAAGAGAATCATAACGTTCTCGCCGCCCAACTCGAGGAAACGATCAAACGCCATCACAACGCCCAACATATCGAGGACATCGTTACCACGTCAATTCTGCAGTTGGGACTCGATGACGAGGCTGCTACCAATGGTCATGGCCACTTACCTTCGGCCGGTCACACAACCTTTAACAGTACTAATAGTGGTACCAATGCGGCCAGCATCCTAGGCGTTGGCAACAACAGCGGCGTAATCAGTGGAGATTATCTGGGAGGAAGTTCGCAGCGATCTCCGAGCGGTGACGCATGTCCACCTGGATTCAATGGATTCTTCAGCCGACCTACGGCACTCGGTACCGGCGGCTCGGTATTGGCCGGTGGCCTCATACCAACCGGACCGCCGCATCCGGCCCCCATGAGCGGTCCTCCAGTTCCTGTCGGTGGACAATTAGGGCACTCTCAGCCGCCGGCGGGCGTCGTCGTGCCGCGACCTCCAACGGCAGTATCACCATTCGGATCAGGATCGCCGTTTCCATCGATAATTGGCTGTCCCGCAGTCAGCGCCGAACAACTTGAACAGCAAATGTTGCAAGCTTCGCGAGCCCCTCAGAGTCAGGGACGGCGAATGAAGACGCTTGGGGAGTTAGAGAAAGAGATGGTACAAGAAAGTCGGAGAGCTATTCTCGCCCGGCAACAGCAGCAGCAACAATCGCAGCAACCGCCGCAACAGCAACAATTATCACAAGTCCCCCCCCAGGGACAACAACAAGAGCTTCAACGTCCCCCGTCGGTCAGCCAGTATCGAATTTTGAGACCGCAACAACAACAGGCACCATTTCCCACCGGTCCCCTACAGATGATACCGCCACCAGGTCAGTCTCTTCATGCCCATGCTCCCTCAGCTGCTGGCGTCACAATGGGTCATCCTCAACGTCCGCACCATTCCAACCAGTCGAATCAGATTGGTGACCTGGATTATAATAAGAAATCGCAGTCACAACTACAAGCTCCGCAGCTCCATCCATTATCATCGGCGCAACCACAGCATCAGCAGCAACCAGCTTCCCATTTGGAGCAACATCGAAACTACCGGTATGATAAATACTACTGCTACCGTAAATCGAAGTCTTCCCATCCCATTATAATCGAATATCTGTTTTGAAAGAAAAACACTAGTGTTTGTGTTAGCATCAGCAGCTTTCACATATGGTTTTTACGTGAAGCTTTTGAAGGGCATAAATTTCTAAAAGCGCTGTTTACGTAAATATAAGTTCCTATCGAGAGTGGTAAATTTTTCTCAGCGATTTTCTGAATATGCACTGAGGTGCTGGTTTTTATTTCGTTTTATTGATAGATAACGATAATTGGTCGATGATTATATTATATACAAGTGTAGCTAGCTGAGCGATGGATACGTTGTGCCAGAAGTTGAATAATGAGAGAAGCATGACTCGGCCTAACCACCTGTTGTAATTGTTGAAAAACGGCTTCGGTCAACACATTATCTTGTTGTACTTTTATCGTTTGTAAAACGTTAGTTGAGGGCAAGCCGCAGCATTCAGGTTTTTCCGCAGCTACCGACTCGTGCCTGTTGCGCCAGTTATGCCGCTCGAGCAGTGTGGTTGCGACAAGGAAATGTAAAAATTTATTCATAAGAATTAAAAGCTTATTTCCAATATTATAATAATCAACTAAATGTAAGGTGTAATACCTCCTAGGATGAGTCCTACCAACCCCCAGAAGAACGAACCAACAGGCAGGTAGAGACATTTATAGCTGGTTCGACGAATTCAGTGCACTGTTATAAATTTCTCTTCATACTAGTTTAAAAATATAATTTTTAGATAAAACTATAGGCAAAAATTTTTGTTTCTTTCCCGTATGTTGGGATAATTTTGCTAAGAAATTGATTATAACAACATGGCCTGCAAACTTAAAGTATATATATGATTCCTCTCCCTGTAAACTGTAAAGCCAATTTCGACTTAACCTGCATTAGCTTGTTACTCTTCGTCTTCTTTTACAGAGTTCACGACCATTACGGCTTTCCTGATCCTGCAGTTCCGCGACCCCCACCCTGGGAGATGAATCATAATCTTCATCATAACAAATGGTCAGCCCAGCCGCCAATATACCCACCACCTGCGCACTTCCAGAGGCCCGCATTCCATCAGCCAAACGTCCCACTTAAATTCATGAATTTTAGGGAATCGTATCGAGTTAGCTTGCGGCGTCATGACGATGGTCGATTGCCAGACTGGAACTTGACAGGTGGAGGCGGCGGCCAACGACGTTACAATACGCGAGATGTAGAGACATTCGGATTTGACGCTGTTCACGAATACCAACAGGAGCAGGATGCTAACAAAGCGACAAGAAGTACACGCAGCGATGATCCCTACGCTGGTCTAATGACCGAAAAGGAAAAAGAATTTGTCATTCGCGTTCAGATGATGTCTCTCAACATGCAAGCACCCCACGAGCAGGACTATTACTATCTCGAGTATATGAAACGGCGCAGTCAGGGTAAAGCTGTCTGCCGAAACAAGTTGCTGACCCAGCGTTACGAGCGTACACCGGACCGACCTCATGAGCCTCAGCAGTTCGAAAACTCGCTTGGTAAACTACACACGGTAACGGCGCACGCGCCTAAAAAAATCCTCGACATGGCAGGGTCACGCAAGCTGGACGATGGCGACGGCCGTACGGTGCCTGCCAACACGGATCTATTGTTGTTCCGCAAATTGCTTATGGACACCGAGAAGTCGTTTAGCCTGTTGCTAAAACTCGAAGATCCTGAGGTGCTAACCTCGCACGAGGAGAAGCTAATTGCGGCACAAGACCTCGTCAAACGACTCGGTCCCTCGCCGGATAATGTCCTGTCACTGCGCAAGGGTCGGGTGCTAGTGTTACGTAGTTTAGCAGCGTTGTGGCGACTGGGCGGCTATCGTGAGCAGTGTCTTCAGATGCTGTGCTCGATCATTGAGAATCTCGAGCTAATTCTGTTAAAGCAGAAACCCTTGGGAGACTCGGTGTTCGTTGACAAGTTCGACATCATTGAAGACATCTTGCGCGGATGTGTCCCCGATGAGATTGCTCGCCTACAAAAATGCATAACAAAGCATAGTACAGCCGGCGATGAAGTCGGAGAATGGGTACTCCGTGGAAAGTTCGGCAGCATGTTAACTGGAAAGCTAGCCGAGTATAATGTGCAAGTGGCTTGATAAATAGTTCGTTAAAGTCTATGAAAAAAAAATTCATGTATCTCTGCATCTATATGCATGCGAACATGCCAATCTCTAAACCATATGGTGTTCGACTTCATGAGAAATAGGTTGTTTGATCGTTACCCATCTTCTCTATTTCTGTCTTCTCCAAAAAATGAGGACAATTCAAATCGGTTTGTAGCTATTTCTTTAACCCGTAAGAGTTGTGTGTTTTCCTTCAATTATAGCCTCGAAAACTCGTTTGAACAGTCGGACCTCTGAAAATAATGATTATGATTACTGAAATATGATGTTATATGAAAATGAGCGATGAAGAACGGTGAAGGCAGAGAAATGGGTGAGCGAGAAAGCTAACGAAAAGTAAAGAACGTATGCAAGGTGCACAAGGCTAGCTGAGCTAAATAAACAACAGAAAAAACAAGGAAAACTAATGTTAAGCCGAAGTCAGCTGAAGGTAGAAGACACATCGAATTTTTACAAAGGAAGTGTCAGAGTTCCCTTATTACGTAACATGTGCCCACTGTCTCAGCAACATTTTCGCAACACATAAACACGTACACTCAAGCATCCGACAGGCAAGTTAACCATATATATGGCCAACTATAGTGTATTGCTTCCAGTTTGACCAGTCGTCGGTATTAGATACGAAAAATTCATTATAAAATATTAAAATAGAAAGTGAGAGAAAAGCGAAGACTGTGGACGGTGCGCGTTGCCCAACATTTGCTCGAAAGGCTGAGCGACACCGCCCAAAGAGAAGACAATTTCTGTTAATTAGTATAATAACAGCAAAACGTATTCACTAGATTAGAACAATTCTATTACGTTTACTATTAATATTACTATTAATATCAGCATTGCAATTGTGTAGTTATCCTTTAAACTGGTCTAAACTAGTATAACGGAAAAGAAACGATAGAAAGAGATGTAACAATCGGTTATTTCTAGAGATGACCGTGGTCGATACTAGATAACATATAAACATATAGACATTATATTGTCAATGTATAAACACATTTGCTGCTGCTAATACGAATAATGGCCTAAAGGGCGAGGTCTCGGCCATAATAGTAACTAATTATATCAGATAACATTAAGAAAACACGTCCTTTTGCGAACGTAGAAAGCCTACGCAAAATGTTAAGCGATCAATTGTGCGCTTTCACCTAATGATTATTTTTATTATAGACATACTGCTAAAAATGACGATTCATTGCGCGATATAATACTGCTACTATTGTTACTCATCAAGAGAATACGGAATAATAATAGTAGTAAGATGAAGTGGACGGAAGCAACAACGTACGACATACGATATACATCGAGTCGCACATGTGAATAACGGAAAACCGAAAAAGTTACAACACAATCGAGGAAAGTAAAGCTAAAGCATGATGGATAAATAAACGTAAGAAATGGTAGAAGTAATAATAAATGTTTGTAAATAACAGACAGAAAGAACGAAAGAAATGAAGTCGATTAATTCAACACTGCAACCCGGTTGCACTATTCTTTTTCTATTTAAAAGTTAATAATAAGAAAAAGAGACATCCTATGTTTTTCTTAATCATAATTTACCCGTGTGTATTTCTTGTTTGTGTTTGTTTTTTTTCGTTGTTAAACTTAATAGGTGGTAGAATAGTGTAAACGTGTTTTTACTGCCACCATTATCATGCCGATTACATTAGGTATATATATATATTTAATAAAGTATTATAGTAATTCCTATATTATAATTAGCTTACTGACAAACTTAGTCACTGACTGCATAAAAAGAAATGCACAGTCAAGTGAAAACTGAAGAATGATAAACGATGCAAACAGTAATAATGATTATATCGGATGATGATTACGCTGGTCATAAAAGAGGGATATCGACTGCTTGAACGTATGTATTTGTAGTCGATGTAAGAATATGCCATGAGAGTATTGGACAATTATATTAATGGTATAAAAAGAAAGCAGTAAATAAAGGCAAAAATTCCAATGATGAAAAGCTAAATGCGCACCTTTAAACGAGTCGATGATAATGATGCTATCAATAATAAGAGTATTAGAACTAATTGGTAACCTAATTTTCAGTCAGTACAAAATCTTATATATGATGGACATATATGAATGTATGTAAATTTTGGTATAACAAGTCTTGTACTAGTGAGTTTAAGCTAAAAGTTGTTAGAGTAATCACGAGTAATGCGATCCTGCCATGTCTAGACTCGTTGACGTTTCGCTCATATAAATTACACACAATCCGCTTCGCTTTATACCGTAAGCTGTTTAAAAGTGTGTCTACGAACGAAAAGGCTTAGATTATCAAATATCAGATCTAATAATTTTTTGCGTCGAAAGCTTCATGATATTTCATTAAATACAGTGTCTTTCAACGGTTTTGCTACCGTTTATACAGTATTTTACTGGTCTTAAAATAGTTTTGCCTTTGTAAAAGAGGTACAGCTATAATACGCCGTCAACACTAGTTTATGCGCCTTGTGACATAACCACATCTAAGAAATCTTTCTCGTCAAGATAGAAATATGCGTGAATCGGCGATTAGATTTCGCACCGATATCTGCATCAACAATCAAGATTTTGTCCCTGGAGAAGAATTGAAGAGATTATATAGCTTATACTTAAGAGGAAAGCAAGAAAATGTTTTCGCTTTTGTGTCTTTAAAAACAATCTGTTTGACTTGTATGATAGCTTAAAGCGTAATCGGTCTCTCTTCGGTGAATGCTTGTCCAGCGCGGTTGCATTGAATACTAATTGGTATTCGCTAATATTCATTTGCCTCCGATGTGATGATAGTAGTGTCTTGTTTTAGAATGAATTAGCCGGGTTTTGTCAGAATTTGAATCGAGCCCCATATATAAGTATATGTGACCGAAGCATCTGCAAAACAGCTTTGACGATTTTTCTATTTTCTTGCGGATAGGATTGGTTCTATGTGAAAGACTATAGTAAACAACACAAATACTACAGTGTTCCTCATACATTTCAATGTACACCAAGAGAAAATCACTTTTTCAAGCAAAAACCTTCGCAGCGGTTAAAATTTGTAAATTATCTGAACGTAGAAGATGAACACCTTACTGACCTCTTCACGATAGGTATCGAGTTATCTTTCTCATTTCCGTCTATGGGCTAAATATGACGTTTTCTCAAAGGAGTCGTTGAAGATTTCTAAACACTCGATGCTTTTATATCGCCAACGTGCTTGGCTTCTTGGGGAGTCTAATACGTATATGGAATTTTGGAAATTAGGATTTGCTTTACCATGAGACCGCAGAATAAGTGGAGGGAGACAGCTCGCTAACTGTATTCCAATAACTTAATTGTACATTAATGAACGCTAGAGATTTACACTGGAGAGAGGGATACCTGCAACAGGACTCCAAGGTGACCAACATGAATTTGGAATATATTTTTAAGTTTTTTTCCGTTATCTTGCTACGATTGAACTGCGAAACAATATGGTTAAACCGCTAAAGAAGACAATGCGAAAACACAGCAAGATAACTAAGTGAGTAAAAGAACAGAGTCAATGCACTGAAATAGACAGAAAAACATCCGTGAAAAATCTACTGAGGCAAGATAGAGGACCACAAGATAGTACCAGGGATAGAGGAACATGGTGATAGAGCAGCTTTTACGGTTTTTGAGTTAAGACTCGACAGGTACGAACTCACTTTGTCTGATTAGGAAAAGTTATAGGGTATAAGGTTGAATAGCGCACGGTATGTGTGTGTAGTACAAATCGTGTGTACGAAAGAGGTAAATATTGTTCATTATGGCGCTGTACACTATTACGCAGTCCCTAATGTCATACATGTATGAATATGGTCAAGCGTCAAAATGATTATTTAATAATAGGATAAAGCTAACCTTATCGTGTAGAACTAATGTAAGAACGACGTTGTAGTTTAAAGATGCAGACTACATTTTATTCACAAAAGATTATTATAAAAAAATTTTGTGTTACACAAATACTTATTTATTTCATTCGCAGCATTTCTAAAAAATGAAAGTTTTATAACAGTCAATATAAGTATCCCAGATAGCACACTGTAAAAAAGGATTTACAGGATTAATATGGCTGACACTATAATAGATTCAATGCTTTAAAAGGGGCTGTTAGTGTGTGGATTTCTTCTGGTTAGGTAAGTACTGTACTATAAAAATGATAAATCTATATCACATATTACTGTGAGATTTATACACCCAGTGAAGGCTCCATGGGTATATGAAAATCATAAATCCTATGCGCCACCAATTGCATTAGTGCCAGACTGAACTTCTGCGACTTTTGCGTGTTATTCACAGAGTGTTACTCATATGGAGTCAGCTTCCTATGTTCTGACGCTACTGAGAACGTATTCAATCATAAATGATCATGTTTCAACCACTCATTTACATAATATCTGTAATGTTTTATCGTATAGCTGGCTTCACCCCGAAACAATCAGTTATAATTGGAGCATGAGCATCGACCGTAGATGATGAACATGTTATGATGGAAAGTCCTTGTACTTTCCATCATAACATGTTTCACGTACATTGCACGATCGGTGCAGTGTACGCGAAGCATATAAATAAATGTATAAATAAATGAAACGAGTTTATAATATAATGTGTGGAACTTTGGGTGAATAGAAGTCGCGGTAGTGACGGGAAAATAAGAAACACAGCCATTGCTATAGATTCTGAAGTAAAACCTGCTTCCCATCGCAGCAATAGAACTACTGAACATGTCATATACATAATGAAAAAGAAATGACCGGGTTTGGGTTTTACTCTGTGCATATGTCCAATACCTTAAACCTACCGCTAACGGTAAATAGAAACGTTTAGTTTTTTTAGAAGTTTACACATTATCACATTGTCACTGACCTACTCCACGCCATAAGAAGTTTAGGTTTATTTATAAAAAAAAAAAAAGTAGAACCTATAGTTTTTACCGGGCGCGGCTGATAGGTATATCAGTGTCAGTAAATTTAGTGTTAAGCTTGCTGTCACAGCGATTCAAGCCAGTGTTAGCGTACCTTACACAACATATAGTATGAGCATGGTAAAACACTTCTGAATTAACGTACTGTGTCAACTTTTTCGTCCAGCAACTATTGCAAAAGACTAGCAACTTTACTACAAATACGTATTGGAGAATAGCCATAGAACAATAGCTTTTCTAAATGCAAACACCGGGTCTATTCGTTCCAAACGTTCCTTTCCCATTAAATATTATACAATTGTATAAACAAATGTACAAAAAGCTCTCCTGTTTTCACAGCCTCGATCGTTATTATTAGTGAACAACAATTAGAGTATCTTGGTCGTTATCAGAACTATTTTTGCCTTTTAATGTTTAGCTTCCTGATCTAGTTACTGAGGTTCGCATTCTGGAATTGTCTACGAAATCTCTTGTTTGGTTCTTCTGATCAGATATCCGCTTACTTTGCTTCTCTTTTTCGGAGATTCGCTTGTAAGCCATGGTGAAATCTCTGGGAGATTTCCCATCACTGTAGACATCGGCTACAAACTTCAAGATTTCCATCGGCTTGAATTCGTATTGAGCTCGGTAGCCCCATCTAATAAGAAAAAAAGCAATGAAAAACAACTGCTATGAACGCTATTATTAGACTTACTATCAAACGAGATCCTGCCGTAAAAATGGATGCAGTTGCTCTTAGTCTACAAGAAAAAGTGAGTTAATTGCGTACTTCATTTTCTCATCATGTTGCCATTATTCCTACCTTTCCCGTTTTTTTTTGGCATCGCCTTTTGCTTTTCATTCGAATTTCCAGTTCTAGGCATGAAGGATATTACATTGTTTATGCATGACGCAATACAAACTAGAATACTTACGAGAATTCTCCGGGACCGTCTTTTTTCTTCACGTGTTCGAGGTAATGTTGTTTTACAAAAGTGACTTTTATCAGCTTTTCGATGTCACCAAATACAGGGTGCTTTCTGTAAATAATCATTCACGCATGTTATACTTGTTCGGCATACCTATTATGAAACTCTATTATCCTGATGCCTGAACCCTCTTGCGCGGAACATCACTATTCGAAAATAGTGCAAAAAATGGAAAAAAAAAAGATGAGTATTAGTGAAGAAGAGAACATCTTCAAAGACGACGACGAATATCAATTTCTGTCGCGAGTAAACTTCAAACGCCTTTTCAATGTACAAAATCGACGATTTTCTTGGGGCCGAAATAATAATACGGACCTTTGCTTAAAATTGTAAAGTAATAAGATTACGTATTTCGGCTTTCAAATACGCCATTTCCTTGACGAACCTCTATTAACACAGGTCCTATCAAATGAATCTATTGTCGAAGTTCGCAAAACGAACTGAATCCATGGAAATAGAAGATAGTGTATGCGAGCATCACAATGGAGGCAGCAACCATACTTGTCATCGTGCTCGATGTTGATTTCTCGAAGGAAGTTCCATAGATCGGTCTCGGCGAGCGTCTCGCCAATATTCATCAGAATAAGACTTAATATAATACATATTAAGCCCCTCACATGCTCGCATTGTTCGTCCTGGGATAGGTGCTCTTCCAGGCCAGTCAAGTCTAGCGAGTTCACGACGATGTAAAGACGCTTTCCAGGCACTTCGCGAATTTGATAACCAATGGTGTCTTCCAACAATCTGCTAGCATTGTCGACGGCTTCCCGCAATAGACGGGCGTTCCCCTGAAACAATTGGAAAAGTACTGAACGCTTTGCAACACCCTTGAATGCTTAACATCTCGAATGGAAGGAAAACTTGTCAGTGTAGATTGTAGTGGTAGAATGCCACATCGGCCTCTTCAAATCTCAGTATTTGTATGTAAATTTTAATTTAATTAAATTAACACATTTATTATACAACGATACAACAATTACTCATACTATATAAATTTCATAGTTGGTGTCAGTCAACTTACAGTAAAACTGCTCCACCCTTAATTCACTGTTCTTGTTATATATATATATATATATATATATATATATATATATATATCATTCTACCATAACTTCACAAATCTCACATGCTATCCACCAGAAGTCTAATAATAATCAAGAATCTTTCATATTATTAACCGTAAAGCAATTTTATCGACTTTGTATAGGATATACGAAAAAGAGTATAGCATTGTAATAATACACATCAACATTTTTTCTTACTTCCAGAAAAAAACAGCATTCATGTAGTACAATCCATCTTTAAAACAACCATATATCCATGTAAGCTTGGTACCCAAATATTGTCTGTTACCTGACCGATACATTCTGATGATTTCGAAGGAATTCTAAGAGTGCAAGGTCAAATGAAAAAATCTATTTAGAAACACTAAATTATCAATTCCACTGTTACCAAACAGATGATACTCAGATTTCGACTATGTATATGACTACCTGAAACAAGCAAAACGGTTTTTCTTTATGTACCATTCTGTGGTCGCTGTGTGTATACTGGTTCATTAAAATCACCGCATCACACCAAAAAGCTTAGTTTTTACTTCCGTGTCTTGTTATTTGCATTACATTCGTGGTCCTCCCACAAGTTTCTAATTACCTGAAGTATCTTTTCTACAATGTCAGCTCGCTTCACTCCAAATTGCGTCCTTTCCTGGATCAGTACATAATGCGCTAGATTAGACGCAATTGCCTCCATATCGATGGGAACGTCCTGTGAGTATGCTTGAGACATTTTCCTTATGATAACAGTACAGTTAGTATTTGAAATTCTAAAGTATCTGCTCGTTACCATTGCGTATCTTTGATTGAAGATTTAATATAATAGACGTTTTAATATGTGTTAGCCCAGTCAGCTAATATTAACAACAGAGCAACAGTGATGCAACAACCCAATAGTTGGAGCACCAAGCGTACAACTGATATACATCGCTACTTTGTACTACTACTTTAGAAATGCCGATACAATTGTAATATTGTTCAGAGCCAGAAATCGGAAAACAGAGCGAAGCAAATATTTTATAGTTATGAAGCTATATAGAAGTCTCTTATGATTTTGATTACATTTTTTTAATATTTACAATAAAGTATTAAAATATTCGTCTCAATGTTGGCGATGCTTGTCTAATGCAAACACTCGAGGTAAACATCGAAAAAACTAGCAACTAAAAAAGAAGCTTACCTTCTATACAATGCTGACTTAAGCTACACTGAATTAAAACGAAAACATGGGCATAATAATTAGCAATTTAGGTAGGGTTCTGCAACAATATGTAGGTTGCATAAGGTGTATCGAGATAATAGCGATTTTAACGAAGCATTCTATCGAACAACGGCAGAGTTGAATGAAGAATAGCACAATCACTGGGGGAGCATTACACGAGTTCACTTCGTTCTCCCTTTTCATGTAAGCCCCAGAAAATTGTATGGTTATAGGTATTTGCCGCGCTAGTTTACTATTGCTTGACCCCGGTGGTGAGCGTCTGCTTTCGAGCTCCTTTTGTTTTGAGTCTTCCTGTGAAAATAGCAGACGGAACATTCCCGTAGCAGAAAATAAGTTTTTGTTACGTTCTCAAATGATGTAAAGCGAAATCGAAGTGAAAGCGCTAGTAAAAGCCAGTAGTGATGAATTAAACGAAGCATAAATATAAATTTGGAACTTTCCAAGCATTTGCAAATGACGATACGCAGTTATTCTAATTGAACTGAAAATCGCACCGTATAGCGATAGCATGATAAAATCCAACTGGCTGCAGTTTAGTTAAAGCAAGCAAATCTAGCCTTTTGCTGTATGTCTAGACACTGTTCAACGCAGACATGCAGAGAAATACCATAACACAAATAAAAACCGCTCTAAGGTGTAATCATGCTAAATCATTCTTTCGGGCGACTACGTTTGGCCCTCGTTTTCACAAATCAAGATGTAATTGAGCAGGGTGATGAATAAGAGAAGCGTGTCAAAGGGACGACTTCCTTAAATCTCCACTTAGTTGCCGAACATTTTTATTTAAGTATTTAACTAAATAGTTATGTGGATTGACAGATGTATAATACAACATGTATTGTCATAATTACCAATCTCAGTGCTATCTATTAAAATATAACTTCAAGTAATTCAAAAGTATCTCACAGGAGACACGAAGATTATATAACTGTTAACGGAATAATCAAAAAGATTGTGAGTAAAGCCGTATGTTTTCCGCCACATACCGATTTGTAAGGTATTATACAAATATAGCAAGCAAATTTCATATAAAAATCTTTATCCAAGACTATATCCCAAGCATGTCACCGTTCTGCTTACATTATTGCGAAATTAACGGTTGTGTTTTGGTGATTTTACCGATAAGTACATCTATATATATATATATATATTTATTTATAGATGTGTATGTAGATATATTTATCGGTTTTTGTCGATCGAATTGTAAGTTTAGTTAGTATAGGGATAAATCCATATTTTGGTAGTTGCGACCTGATAAAAGCAATGAGTTGTACTTTAAAGTATAAGTTCATCTCACTTATTTTTGCTTTTACAAGTAAGGTATCATAAAAACACACATACTAATTTTGTCATGTGCTCAATCATTTGCTTGGCTGTGGTAAATGTTGCGGGAACTATCATTAGGTAAATTTGCGTACCAGATGAAAGAGTTCCAGTTTGCTTACCGATATACGTATGCTGATGTCGACGGCTGTGTGCCGTGAAGCCAGCGAATAAAGCCATGACCGAACGCTACTGTGCCAGTAACTGCGAATCTGCGAAAGCCATCGAAGGTGCTCGTGAAGTAACGTTCAAATGTGAACACAGCTGATAGCATTTACACGTAAGTTTATAGCTGTTCTTTTGTGGTAAACAGATTATTTAGGTTTCCGAAAAATCCCGAAATTTGTAATTAAATCGCTGTCAATGTATAAAGGTGTAAAACTTTAATTTTTAAGACGTTAAATGCACGGTTTTATTTCGTCACTTATTGGAACATCTGTAACTGCTCGTAGGGGTATGATTTTCTTGAACGAGTTAGTATAGCTGACATGTTTTTTTAACGATACTCTAGGCCTTAATGCTTATATTATTTGGTGCTTTATATCCATATATATATATATAGGAGGTCATATTAGGATCGATTATTTGCAAGCCTGATCCACTGAATTTTATTTGGTATAGATGCTTTATCTATATTGTTTATTTTATGTATTTATGTATTTTAGGTGTAGGTATAAGCTGAGGCCGTTCTTCGCTGCAAAGTCTGACAAATCTACAATGGCTTTGTTTAAAACGCGGCTTATCATCTACGCAATTGCGTTGGTAAACATGCTAGAATTTGTTCGCACGTGTGGTGCAGGCCCGATTCATAGTCTCTATCGCAGTTTCCGCCTGCATGTCGGGCTGGACCATTATGAGAGACCAGCTTCATTTCCCAATTTTATGTAAGTTAAGAAGCCACGACCTACAATCCTAATATGGATATAAGAACCCAATAACGTAAAAAGCTCGAATACTATGAAAGGAAAACTAATTCAATTTCACCGTTCTTATTTCGGCTACACCAAGACTCTATATTTGTCAATGTAAATCATGTTGTTAGATCAAGGAGGATGCGCTCACGTTTTAAATTTTTATGATGTAATTCAGCGTATTATTTAAAATTGGCATCAATAGAACACTAACTTAAAAACCGGTTACAAATTTTTACGGAAAAATATTGATTGTGAAAGTCTATTTTTGCATGCGTATACAGTACTACTATATCATATAAACGGCTCACTAGCAAGAGGCTTGACTGGTGTTCATTACCTCTGTATCTAGTCGATAACTAATTAGACGTCTAACAAGTTTAGAGTCGCTTAGTTCATGGAAACTAAGTTCAGCGAAGTAGGTTGTAAAAAACGTGAACAAAACACTTCATTTTACCTATTTAATGCAGGATGTTTTTTTTTACATATCCGCGTGTTCCGCATTTTCAGGCACATTCGAGATAGCTACGAGCCTACTAAATATAACAGAAAGTGGTATTACCGCCATGGAAATCAAATGCTTACTATTAAATGTAAGGTCTAATGTCATAGGAAGATAGCATTAACAAGTTATCTGGGCATAACACTTATTTTTGGTGCACCAGGCTACAAGGTTGTTTGAAGTTTGAATACTGAAGAATCCATTTTTAAATTAGTATTGTAGTATTAGGAAACCAGTACTATAAAGTTTCATGGACTATTACTACATAATAACCGTGTACATCCCGGGAAATAATAACTAACGACAAACCGATGCTTGTATAACTTGAATATGTGCGACTTACCGAGCTTGCTAAATCTGACGTTACAGTTACTAGTACAAACAGCTGACACAAACGTAGAAGACAGAAAAAAACACGACTCAAGCAATTAGCTACAATTACACCCATGCTTTCGAAAATTTCACATGAAAGCTAGATAAATCGTCGTTAATAAAATCTATGTGAAACATAATCGGAAGAAATGTGAGTGTTCATTAATTATGTAACTCAAGATGTTTCGATCAAAACTCTAGTTGCTTAACAATCTTAACGAAAGTATTGAAGGTTACGTAATGGAGAATCTGTAGACCGAAGCAAGTCAAATTATATGTAGTACTACATCTCGACATTAGCCAAATATAAACGGGCTGAATATATATATATTCAAATCTTCGATAACGGAGGCTACTATCGTTCACATGCTTACCTTGTAATTCGTATGAGGCTGCCTTTATGCCCAGTTAACACAAAATGTAGCTACTTGACCTATACCTCACATTCATTATGATAGATTACTAGTTTGGCAGTAAGTGGTCTTTTTACATACAATTCACAAAGAACACAACTGACTCTCGTGTAACTGCTAAAAAATTTAGCATTAACATGTATTTCTAAATTTCAAAAAAAAAAAAGAACAGTTGCAAAGGTTGTACAACCTGTAAAGTCTGCCTTAATGCTAATCAAACTTCACCGTCCAGAATAGTCTAAAAAGGCGTAAAACCTGCATTGGTTGTAAAATTACACTTTGATTCCGGATTTCTTTAAACAACTAAGTACTGTCTCTATCATGAAAAAATCTAATAAATGATGACAAAGTTTATTTATAATTCTACTTTATTGATCAAAAAATGAAAAGGATTTAACGGTAGCAGATCTATAATTACCTGAAATGAGAAAACTAGAACAAACAGGTTAGCAGATGCCCCCCTTGCCCCATAGGACCCATATTTTAATTTCCGGCCGATTCTTCTTCCGTTTGGCGTTAGGAGCACAAATGAAGTTGTTAGGATGTTAATATCAATGAACCAAAAGCGGAACGCCAGCTAAATTTATACGCTAGTCTAGATAGTAAAACTAAGCGCATTATTTGTGCACAGAAGGTTTATAGGACACTAAACTAAGTAATAAATAAATCATACCTGGTCATTTCTGCAATCCATTCGTTGTTCTATAAGCGCGTGGAGCTAGTCCTAATATAGCATGCACAATACTAAATGTCACTGACCTAGATGGAAAGATTTGTTAGTCGTTTACCGTAAGAAAACTTCTATAACCATTAGTCGTACCTGCTAAATAATGATTATAATAGATCCTAATTCCTAGCTTTCACTTTCAGCAGTGCCGTAGTGTTTCTAAGGGTTTTTTAGCCTGACCTGTTAATTCCGCGCACTGGCACAAAGCTCGGGAAACGTGCACACTAGCACAGTCCGCGCAAACTATCCTTCTCGTCGTTTGAAGTGCACACACACAACATACTCAACTTAAAACCTCAAAGAGTTCACGTATCAGCATCGACAACAACTCCACAAAACAAATCTATAGACAAAGGCCAGCAGAAGACAATAAGAAGAAGGTACTAGAGAATTGACGATGCGCCGAATCTTCTCGATATCACACAGTTGTCATCAATCACTTGACCAAACAGAGAGAAAGATAAATGCATGGCCCAACTTGGCATGAAATTAACAAACACTCATACACACACATGTCGGGGAGATATTATTGATGGTTTAGAGTCCTCTCAAGATTGTTTGTTCGTCAGGCGTCAAGGGGTCTAACATAATCATCTTCCTTCTCTACGTGGGAAGTAGTCAACCAGCCTTGTGTAGGCTTGTAGCCCCTTGGGGCAGTAGATTGTGGCACCCCAGCAGATTAAAATTTATCTCGGTAATGGCACAGAGAGAGAGAGAGAGAGCGAGAGACAGAGATAGGGGTAGTTGTTGTGGCTGTTGCCTTTTTTCTAGTGAAAGGGTTCGATTTGAGGTAAGGGGCTATTTCATTGGAATTTTGTCATCGCGTCATCATACGACCGTAACTGTCTCTGTCCTTGGCAGCGTCAGCTTTATTTAGCAACGTTGCGTGCGTCACCCGAACCAGCGAGTAACAGGATGCGTTCGGAACTTCCCGAATTACATTACGCTGTTGTCGGCCGTTACGGACGATCTGCTCGTTCAACCGTAACAACTCGAGTCGTACCCGTGCTTGACGGCCAAGCAAGATGCAGCGCATGTTGCACCCTCAAGATTGATATGACCAAGTCAGTGGTGTAACGGTACCAGGGACAGATCTGGGCATTGCTCTGTTAGCCCTATTATCCGGGGAGAAGGTGGATAGTTGTCAGGCCGACGTAACGTAAGGGAGGCCACTGTAGCTTATCTCACCGAAAAGTTGACATGCTGATGATGGTGATGGCGATGATGCTGAAGTTGTTATTGTTGTTTTTGTGGTAGTCGTCGCTGATGTCATCGTTGTCGTGGTCGAAAGACGTTGAAGAGGTGCGGTGATTCGATATACCGATGGCAAGCCGGCGTAGAGCGGATGATGGTTTCGGAGGAGTTCTATCGAAGTTGGTCGACGTAGGTCGTCGCATGCTGTCGATGTAAGAACGGCGGATGAGATGCAGTCCAGGGTCGAAGTCGCGAAGTCGAGGGCTGATTCAGTGTGAGCTAACGGCTGAACGGTGATTCGTCTGTAGCTGATCGTGTGTCGGTGCAGTACCCGTTGAGCTGACGAGATGAGGCTAGCTGTCGACTTGATGATGTAACTGCTGGAAAACCATGGATCTCCGCTAGTCTGCAGAAGTGATGTATGAAAGTGCAACGAAGATTGACTCGACGAGGAAGAAGGCACAAAGTCTTCGTGTAAGTACTTACCCAAATGTGCCGTAAAGAATTAAAAAGGTAACCTGGTGAAGCCGTGCTGTGATGAATCAACGATGAACCAAGTATATTTGAGGGGGGTGTGGTGAAAGAGAAGGAGGTTGTTGGTGGTTTACTCGGTCGTCGATCGAGAGGTGCGCAAAAACCGGTTGACGTATTTTACGGCGGCGAATGAAACTCAGCTGAATATCAGAAGAAGGAAGTTGACATTCGAAGCAGAGATCCGCACATACGGTGCAGACAGATACACAAGACATAGGGAAAGCGGCCTATAGTGCCATTTGTCGTTGTCCTTACACAGTCGGTAGTAGTGGTAGTAGCACAGAAGGGGAGGAATCAGGACACGCTCGATGCAACTTAGAGCTGATAGTATAAGCTGATGATTTATTACAATATTTATACGGTTGTAGGTGATGGTGGTTGTTGTTGTTGTTGGTAGTACAGAGTTGGTCAACCGCGAACTTCTCTCGCGGTGCTCAACGTGTGGTGGCAACATCTAGAACATCTGATTGCTTCTGTTTGTGTTATATTTTTTTTTGCATTGCCTGCTTTCATTCATCATTTGTAAATATTTTTAGTTGTAGTTTATGTTTTTTTACGATGATGACTCTCTCAAACGGACCGACCGGACCGCCGTGCTCACGTCTGTATTTCGCGTTGCTGATTTCTCCGTTGCCGTTTTTTTTTCGTTTTTTCAGCCTCGACTGTTTGGGTACTGTCTGTTTCTTACTTATGCTTTCATTCTGAATTTCTGTCTTAACACAACACATTCTGTATACAAATACAGTGGTCAAAAGGCGGGCGGAAGGTATGCCGTCAGCTCCTTTCGCGCACAAGTGTACCTGCGAATGCAACGCGCTTGCGTTCACGCCCACTACTTTTGTCTCCCCTGACCCCACTGCGTCTTTTTCATGCTGCTGAAAAATGATCATCTCGACAAATTCAAGATGTGTCGTCTCGTTGCTCTCCTGGCAACGTTGTGTGCCTGTCTGTTGCTGTTGCTCATCACAAAAATTATTTCTCCCCATTTCTTCATACATCTCCTATCTCTCTATCCCTCACTGGCAACGCAGCTAATATTCATTATCTCGACCTTTGGTCGGCACCCTTGACGTCGTTGCACGTTCAATACCGTCTTGACGATGAGCTTGAACCGTACCCCCGTGACACGGACCCGTAGCTGGCCGAACTGGACGAATACGAGTAGCCTCCACCTGGATGGCTTCCGCTTCCGCCACCTCCGCTGCTGGTCCACTTCGAATCGTGGCCGCCGCCGTAACCCCCTGACGAGCCACGTCCCGGTGCGCCGTAGTCACTCCGTGAATGTCCGCCATGACTGCTTGAATGGGCATATTCTCCGTAGCCGTTACCGCTTCGGCTACTGCCTCCAGCTCCGCCGCTCGATGAGACATACGTGCTGCGGGTCGAGGCATCTCGCGATGATCCCGAGCCACTGACATAACCGCCGGAGGCACCGGAACTACGTGAATAGTCCACTCGTGACCTCTTTTGTGCCACAACGGGCTCTTCGCGCCGTCGATCGTAGTCACGTTTCGCTGTCGCGCTGCTACTGCTACCGCCACCGCTGGCGCTGCCTCCGCCGCCGCCGCGGTAATAATCGCTGCTGGCGCCTCCTCCTCCGCCGGTACCGCCGGTCGAGCGAACATCTTCGTATGAGCGTTTTGCTACTGGATGTGAACTGTGGCCGCCATGCGATGAGCTCGAGTGCCTTATGTGATCCATTTTTCGGCGCATCAATTCGTCACGTTCGCGTTGAATGCGCTCCCTTTCGGCGCGCTGTCGTTCGCGTTCAAGACGGAGCAGTTCAAGCTTGTCACGCTCAAGGCGTTCCCGCTCGATGCGAATCCTTTCGCGTTCCCGATGGATCTTGTACTCCGCGTCTCGACGATGACGCTCGAAATCACGATCCCGCCGTTCATGCTCCCGGGAGTGTTGGCGGTGATCGCGGAAACTTCCACGAGGTATAGGCGGGCGATCACCCATGCCGGGACGACTGCCCCCGCGAAACCCGCCGGTCCTACCCCCGCGGCCACGTAGTCCGCCACGTCCGCTACGACCCCCTCGGAGCTTGGACAGGCCGCTCGGAGCTCCTCGCGTGCCCAGTCGCTTTCTCACATCGCCTCGATCTCGACTACGTTCACGTTGGCGATTATTAGCACCTCCGCCGCCGCCAATCTTCTTTTTGCCGGACTTGTCCGCATCGTCCTTGGTGTCGTCAAGGACGACCTTAATCACCTCGCCATCGCCGTCCTCCTTTTTCTTGTCCGCCCTTGAACTGTCTTTATTGAGAGAAATAATCTTCTTCTTACTTACAGGAGTTTGCGGATCGGTCTCCTTTTTGGCGGCAGCCTTCTTCTTTGAAGCTGACGCACGAAGGGCGCCTGCCGGATCGAGATCGGTCATTTCTACGGCCAGCTTATGGCCGTTGTAATCACTGCCATTTAGTTCGGCGACACACTTCTTAGCGTCATCAAGAGTGGCCATCGTCACGTAGCCGTAACAACCGCTCTTGGGCGATTTGGCATTCGTAACAATCTTGGCCGAACTGATTTTGCCGCACTTGCTACATAGCTTCTTCAATTCGGCGGCTTTTGTATTGTGTGGCAGGGCCGATATCCATACATTGACCGACTCAACTGGTGGACTAGCAGGCTGATCATCAGCATTTTCTTTTTCATCGCCTTTCGACAAGCGATCCTTAACGCTTTTGTCCTTGTCGCCGGCACCGACCTTATCTTTTTTTCCCTTGATACTGCCTTCGTCCACCTTATCATCAGGCTCATCTTTATCGCCTTCGGCTTCATCTGCCTCATTTTCCGCGTCGGCTTCGCCATCAGGGTCGCCATCACCTTCGCCGTCGACAGGCTTTCCGTCATCGTTATCATCAAATTCATTATTTTCTTCGGCATGAACTTCGAGACCCGCTTCTTCAGGCTGTTGGGCCTCGTCATCGCCGGAGCCTTCCGTGGTACCATTGCCCCCAGTAGAACCTCCCAATGCCTCATCTTTAGCCAGCGGGATATCATCATGTGGGGATTCTGCACCTGTAGGTTCGTCGATCTCTTCGGCTTTGTCGGGTTCTTCTTTTGTTTTTGACTTATTAGTAGCCTTTAAGGGAGCTGCTGTTGTGTCCGAACTGACCTGCAATCGCACCGAAAGGAAATGGAATACAAAAAACAAAAAATGCCATAACAAACATTGGCAAAGTTGTTCGAATGGAAAACAGTTAGAAATCACAAAGTTTCTCTCGAAGGTTGGAAGGGATCTGGAATTTAGAATACAGATACTCACCAACATTTTTACGATCATTTAAATGTCCCCGCGCTATTTCTATGACTTTGAATTGCGTTATCTGTGTTGCTGATACTAATCGTTGTGTAAATGATATATATTATCAAAGTTCAGACTTTTTGGGGTCAAGTAAAGGTTTCGTGCCAAGGTAATTGAGATGAGATAAAATTATTAGTTAATATGCTATAGGGAACAATCTTAATAACCTTTACTAGAGTCTTCTGACATTTGAAAATCATCATTTTAAAGCAGTTGCTCTAATATGTAAAAAACGGAACACCTGCTTTGTGCGTATTATAAAAAACAGATACTGAACAGATAGATTCTGTAAAGTGCTTAAGAAAAAAGTTTCGTGTTTCTCAGTTTTCTAGTTTGATTTACCTAAACAGTAATCAATAATAATGAAAACTTTGAAACAATTTAATGGAACATGTAATCAGAGTTGCATATGCGTGCTCATTGAGTACAAGACATTAATTTCATGCCACAATCATGTAACACAGCCATGCTGCACGAAAAAATGTTGATGTGTTTAATCATAACTTATGCTACATGCAATGATCTTTAAAATATGAACGATTCGGTAATACTTTACTGCCTCATTAACATGAACGGAATACGCCAGAAGGTTTGAACGTGCACACAGATACAGAAATATAATGTTTCTCACGAAGGTCTCTTTGCAGCGGCCAATTATTGATGATGATTAGAAGAAAATGGCTAAATGAATTTTTTTTGCTAAACCTTTAAATCTAGGCGAGTCAAACAATTTAATACTAAAGCTTCACTGTAGTGGAACTCAATATTGAATATGATGCTATCTACGGTATGAAACCACGGTACGAAAAAACGATTCTAAAGTAAACAATCGAGACATCTGAATAATTGTGGAGCATACAGCAAGCAAATTCTGACCGGCCTTTTCAAAACATGGTTATGCCACCGCTAATGGCTGATATTATATATATATATATATATATATATATATATATATATATATATATATATATTACTGAGCATCGATTTACGGAAAGGAAACTGAGTACGTTAACAATACTGTTTTCGTGCTTGTAACGAGAATAAACGTGCAGCTGATCAATACAGCGAACATAACATGATATTGAGAATCTTATTTTGATAATTACAGTATAATGGTTACATATCCACCAATTTTGTGTTCACGCGCTCGAGACTGAATGAGCCATAAACATCGGAGTGCATGGAATAGAATCGGGGTGTTCAATATATTATGTGATGATTAGCGCAGCAGATTGGCGTAACGATAGTCTTGTGCAGCCAACTGGCCCTGTCGGTCTCCGAAATTAAAAAACACCATTTACAGACGTAGGCAAAAGAACACAAAAAAAAATAAAAACTATGAAGTTTGAAAAAATAGTAAATCTATTGATCACAGCACGCAGATGGTGGTGGAATCGTTCTATGGCACATGAATGGTCATAATATAGTGTATCGAATAACGTTCAGCGAGAGCAGGCATCAGCTTGTCGTCACTTAGGCTGTAAGTTAACACACTAAGCAACTCTACTAGAGCTATTTACCCTCCAACACGTAGACAGTGACGTACAAAATTTGAACTATCAGAATCACACAATATATCCTATGCTTTACGGAGCATAGCTTATGTCGTTATGGTGCCGGAAAACCACTATGCCTATCGGAATGTGCCATAGGGCCACAACAAGGACAGCCCCGTCGAGAGACCGGCAAAGCATTCACCTCGCTCAAGCATGTTTAGCCTAAACGAAATGTTTCAAGTCTTCCGTCCGGCACAGTCGTTAAACATTCCCTCGTAGAGCTGGCTTCCAGCACGAAACGAAGTGTATCTGTGCCCGAATTCGATCTTACACCACGTGCCCTTAAGATTAGCAGGCAAACATGTTACTCACTGAGCATCACGGCAACTTTGTTTAGCCTATACCGTCACGATCTGCACATACACCAACATAGGCGCCATTCCAACAATCGAGATAGAGAGAGCAATTGTTTTGGGTCGCACCCAAATGCATTGCCCACCCAATTGGAAATACTAGCACCTGAAAACCACCTACCTTCAAAAATGCACTCACCTCAAATTCATGTGTCTCAGGGTCGAGTCCTTCGTCTCGGAGAGCGCTCTGCAAACGTTCAAGCAATGCCGATTTGACGCCGGTTGTGTTGAGACTTCGGCGTTCGAGCTCGTTGCGGAGGTCCACAACGCGTAGCTCGTTCAGCCGTTTTCGGCCTGACTGGTCTTGAGTCATGATTGACCCCTGCTGATGAAAAAAAAGGGGATTTGACGTAGTCGTCTTCAACGGCCGAACTAACAACAGCAGCAGCAAGCAATTAGTCTGGGTGTTTACGACTACGCCACACCACCGCCCGTCTGCTGCCTCGTTGAGATCGTAGCTGCTACACACCCCTAAAACAACTGTACAGTTGGATTTGGCAAAACGTGTTGATGGTCACCATGCAATACAATTAAGTAGCGTAATATTTTCCTTCCAATGAAAATAGCTATGCAATAGCCTCATGAATTAGTCTTCAAGATACAAAGAAATCCACCTCTGCTAAGGGCAGCACTCTTCGCCGAGGCGATGCACACACCAGCGGAGTGGAGATGCTACAAGCTCACGATCCAAAATGGCCGTTAAGCGACCGAGCAGTTGGCGGGAAAATTCAAGCGGCAACCAGCCTCGATAGGCGACCATTTGTTGGTAACAGCGGACTGAATGGATGCATTAATGAACTCTCGCGTTTATCGTTCAACAGACCGTAGCGCAGATATTGTCTATAGCAGTTATGTAATCCATTTGTGGAATGTTATTTAAGTAAACATCAGTACTTAAATTGCGTTGATGGGTATCATACACACTTAAACACATACGCACAACGAGAATATGCTCACGTGCGACGAAAAGACCCCGATCGGCTTCGTGCAGTTATTGACCCAATCATATACATGAAGTTATTTGGGGAAAATGTTGAAATATTACCATAATGATTGCTATTGTTATGATTTTGAGTTGCTCTCTTTCTTTTCACTGCAGCAGATAGTGGTAAACCTAATTCTAGATACAAGTTGATGCTTAGTAATTAGTAGAAGCAATGGAACAATAAACTTAACCGAATATCGTATTTAGCACTGAACGAAAGTGTCACTTGGGCATATAGGTAGTTCAAAGGGTTTTGTTTATTATATATATATCGCGCGAAAAACAAGGATAAGTTATTAACGCCAAAGACGTACACGTATTGATTAAAGCCGTTTTTGGAATATTGTCTATCCACTATTATTTTAGTAGTAAATCTCAGTGTCAATAATGTATGCGTTTGTAGCACGACAAAAAAAACTGTGTTTCCTCGGGTTTTTCTACGTTTAAATAAATTGCTTTTTAACTGAACTATATCCTCAGGTGTTTATATCGTTTCTTTTAATGAAATCGTTCTAGTAGTTTTTTAATATAAGCTTGTTAGCAAATACGTAGTTATGCATAATCTTTATCCTGCTAGGGGACCCAAGCTGTCGTTAGAGAGTGCTGAGGAACTCGCACAGAAAAAGGCTTCCCGAATCGATCGTCTGTCTCAGATGCTGTCAGCTTGCCTGGCTAGCGCCTGACAGATTTGTCTAAGTTTGCTGCCGCATCGTTTGAGTTTGGCTTGGCGCTGCTATCGCCAAATGCTTTCGAGAGTATCACATCTATTAAAGCAGCCAAATTCGCGCGAATGATTTAAACTCGATTGCTGCTATTGCTTTGTGGTAAGCGAAATTGCGCACTATATGAACTATATTTATGCGCGTTGATGAAAGCGAATTACTTCTTTAACTGTGCATACAAAAAATTCTAATTATCCCCCCCCCCCCCTCTCCCTTAAAATATGAACTAAAGTCCAGTCATATAACAATTGAATTACTGAAATAATAAAAACGTTTTTGTCTATGCTTTGTGGCAGAAGAATATATTTTTAGCTTATTGTATATAACTCAATCACGAACCGCAGGGTTTTTTTGTTTTTTATGCTTGCAATTTTTACACCAGCTAAGACTTTTGATGAACATATTGACCGTTTTGTTACCTAGATGGCTATGAAGTTACCTATTTAAGGTAGTATGAGTTGCGTCGGGCCGCGCTGCTGTCAACTGAAAGCTGAGATTTGGCAGTAGCAAATAAGTTGTTTGATCAAATTTAAGATAAAGAGTCTCAAAAATAAGAAATTTGCAATATTAATACTATATTTTACCAGGTAGAAATACTGCTCAGTTACATCAAAAAAATTAGTGCTTTTTTTGGCTATGATGCGTTATCATAAAAAAACGGCCCAAAGATGGTAGCGTCGCCTTTGTCGTGGAAATTTCAATTTGAAAGATGCCCCTCGTAGCGGTCGGCCAATGATATGATTGCCAAAGTTGAGCAAAACCGACACGTGAGTAGCTATAATATCGCAAAGGAACTAAACATTTATCATTAAGTAGTTTTAAACCAATTAAAAAAGCTAGCTACAAAAAAATCTTGATGTTTGACTGTCATACGAACTGACGCAAACGAATTTACTCCGGCATGTTTTCATAAGCGAAACTCTACGGAAACGCAAAAAATTCGAAATTAAGCCATTTCTAAAGCGCTTCATCTCACGTGTTGAAACATGGATCACACACGGCAATATTGTGTAAATAAAAAAAAATGTGCTCAGCAATCTATGGTACAACCCTGGCTGGCACCAAAGAAGGTGAAACTATGTGTTTGATGTGACTAAAAAAAAATCGTACGTTATGAGTTACTGCCGTCTGGCAAAACGATCGATCCGGATTTCTATCGTCAATAACTAAATAATAAAATTATAACAAATGCTTAGAGAAAATCGACTGGCACTAGTGAACAGGAGAGGCTTGACTATGACATCGTCAGAGCACGTACAACTTCAGCTGTCAGACAAAAACTGCGTGAACTTAGATGGGAAACTCCAATGCATCCGTTTTATTTTTATCTCTGCAGAACTCGTTTAATGATGTCAATTTAGTTTCAATGGAAGGATCTAATATCGCTTGTTACAGTTTTTCGTCAAAACATCACAAAAAGAAGTTCTGCAGTGAAGGGATTATGGAATTGTCAGAGAAATCGCAGAAAGCCATTAATCAACATGGTGCATATTTAATTGGGTAATCATTTTTAAATTATAAAAGGAAATACTTACATTTTGACTCAACACTGTCGATACACCTTCAGCAACCCAGTATCGGTTAAGAACAGGGTCTATGGATAGTGGCGCCTGTAGACTCTAACAAATATTCAAGAATATGTAAGTTACAAACTTTTGGTTTGATTACGCAGCTGCGGTCTGATAAGCTTTAAGTTATCACAAAAAAATAACGATAATCAATAACGAATTGCACAGAGAATTTTACGTTATGTTCATTGCAATGTTATAGCATTGTTACAATAATAAATCAAGTAACAGCTTAAAATAAGTACACCTTTTAATAACGAGTAACAATCCGGGTTTCATGTTATTTGCGTATTGCACATTTTCCTCTCATTATGTATTCTTGCACTGCGTTGACTGACCGAATCTCACGAGGGAGAGAACTCTACCAGATGCGGTAGCAACGAAAAAAAGTTTTGAAGGTTTTTCATTGAATGTGTAGTGCAGTGCTTTCATAAGCATCGCTGACGATTAAATAAAAGTCGTTTGCTATTACGTACTATCTCCTGCGCCTGATCACAAGATGTAAACTACCAAAAATCATGACCGAAGAACAACAGCGATTAAGAATCGAAAAGTTCTTTTGTTGACTTGAATATTATTAAATTTTTAAAATCTCCATTCCGGTAATTCGTGCATCATGTTGAGATTTACGCTATCGGGCTAAGTGAGCGGTCGTTAGCCTTTGTAAATTTTAGTTGCTTGAGTTTTCCACTTGCTAATGGTAGACTTCAGGGGGGTGAACGCTGAACTGTGACTCATCAATACCTGCAGTGAATATTATCTGTACTAGACTGGCAAACGAACGCTATAAGCTGTTCCGCCAGGTTGCTGCGTCCATACATTGATGCGATTGTTTGCGTTTATCGTAGAGAACCCATTTTTAACTACAGATTACAGTTTAGTGCAGAAGCGAATTACTGTTGTAACGTGACAGCAACGAGGCACAAACGTCTCTAGATTTTTTTCTAGAAGTTTTTAAACCAACGGCTCACGGTTCTTCCACTAATAGAACCTTCATAAATAAAAAACAAAGCTTATCTTAGAGTTACCTCCGCCACGGTAGTTCCAAGACAGGAACTCGTAATCGTAAATGATTCTCTACCTTTCAGTGCCATTTGTTCACTAGAAGTCCGAACAGTGCTTTCCGAGTGAACTCTCTCAAATAAAAAGTACGTGTGCGCCTTTTAAAACAAAAGAAGCACAATGTGCGTGGCCATGTTGAAAAAGTGCCATTTTTAAATATTATAATCACGTGTTTCTAACTTTGAACTGAACGAGCTTATACTACAAATACGGCAAACGAAAATCACATATTAGCCTCCTTCTGCTTTATTATGCCATTGATTATATAGATAATAATAATTAGTGCTTAGGTTTGCTAGCGTTAAATTTATAACTTGAAAAAAGCTGGCCATTAGGATTTGCTTGTGAAAACGTTATGGTATAAGCTCTAATGTGTATGAGTTCCACATAAGCCCACCTTATAGTGCCGTTTGTTCGCAATCTCTCAAATGTGAAACTGTAATGAAAGATACCAGCTTGAACAATATGAAGACAGTCTTACAAATGGAAGTGTTTGCCGTTGCGTTTTAGATAGATATCACTTAAGCGAGCGTTTCTTAACCTGGGAGTGCAATTTTTTAAATAATTTTTTACGTGAGTCGGGCATAATTTTCAGTATGTCATGTAGAGTGAACCCTTTAGCTTCCCAATTGTTGAAGGCATCGCCTTATGGACTTTTCCACTATGGTGAGAATGCCTCGTGGCAAATTGTGCGTTTACCAGTTCGCTGTTTTTTTTTTCAGTAGTTTGTTTCAATAGCTTCGGCTCTTCGAGTCCCCAATGACTGATAGCATCATCGCGTTGGAACTAACTATTCTAAGTCAAATTCATTAAGTTTCAACAAAAAAAAAAATCTTTTACCGCGTCTCCGCGACGAAAGCCGTTAACAGCTTAATACAACGAAAAGACAGTCTAATGACCTTTCTCGCCCAAAGTTGAAATCATACGGTTACTTGAACTCTCTAAATTATTGGTTATCTATGGCACTGAAGATCCTGTGTTCATTGGCTGAGTCATGCAGAAATGCCATGAACATATCTCGTTCGGTACGAGCGCACCTCTTCTGCACATCATCAAGTTGTTCGAACTTATTTTCACTTGTCACATTCGCCTACAGATGTAGAATTTTTTTTAATAACACGTTCGTATTTTTGTGAAAATCCCGATAGCAAAGTCGATCATAAATGCGAGCAATATTTAGAGGTTGGGTTTGGCCGTAACGTATCCCACATGCCTGACCTAGTGCTTGGCCGAAATTATCAAATTTAAGTTAGCTCGGATTATCCTAGAATTCTCATTAGTATAACCATGCTGCTGGCAGCCTTATATTGATGTATAAGATCATCAACTTGAGCTTTAACATCATCACTTTACATGTACATCTATTTACATTTTAGTACTGCTTTAATCCTGAAAAAAAATATATTTTAGATGTGAAAACTGACAGGAGGTCCGAACATTTAAAAACCATTTACTTGTGTGAAATCAGCGAAGAGATGCCCCCTCTGATATTGGATTCTAGCATCGCTGCTCATTTTGACCGACCGTGTACGTGTATCGAACGGTCACATAACGATTCGCCAATAAAAAAAAGGCGTCATGTTTAGTATCCGGAGCTCAAAGTGCTCTTGGGACTACCTGAAAACAATCTTGTCATTTAAAAGTTATAAAGCTATAATATTTGCACGAGGTGTATGCCCATTTGGACTAGTTGTTTGCCCAGAAATATATGTATGCATGGGTGAATATGCAAAATATTGTAATGGGTTGCAATTGTAAAAGACATCTACCGTTCCCGAGTTGCGAAGAGCTCCATTCTCTAGGGTCATTCAGTTGCCCCTTGATATAACATTTTAGTGGCATCGTAAATTTAGACAATACCGGCAGTGTGGCCACTTAAATAATAGCCCTACCAGAACTGACTTTTGAAGGCTAGCTGCGTAAGCTATAGATTTGCATTAGTTTTTGTTATCCGGTGGAATAACCCGTGTGTGGGCGACATTTTAAACAGCTTCGAGAAATTTTTAGATGGCTAAACAAGCAATTTGTATGTTACTGACAAGTTCGCTTGTACATAGGATCATCATACCATCAAACTTGAAATCGACGTGAAACATAGCTTTCGTAAAACTTATACCGCATTGACTGGAATAACCGTGCGTTGTAAATTGGCTGCTTGAACATATTGTTTATTTTTTTGGTGCTAACTACAGTAATCGTTGTTACAGCTTGTCCATTTTTATTTGGATTAAAATACTTCATGACACGATTACGTAGACCTACGACAGGATTAGCCATGCGGACCTCTGCATGGTCGCGAGGCGCTAGGAGATGAGAAAAGATCATGATTTGTTCATTGATATTACTATCCCGTGACCATGTGGCGGACAATTTCTAATTAGGCATACGCGAGAACTTCGATGTGTCTTCCTTGGTTAAGGCTGCCAAATGTCATAACAGAATGAAAATTTTGGTTAAACTAGACTTCTAAAAAACTTAATCGAACATGTAGGT